GTGTGTTTGTGTGTGTGTGTGTGTGTGTTTGTGTGTGTGTGTGTGTGTTTCTGTGTGTGTTTCTGTGTGTGTTTCTGTGTGTGTTTCTGTGTGTGTTTCTGGAGTTATGATTGCATGGATGATGAAAACATGAGAACAACAGAGAGACAATTGGCTACACAAAGCACCAGAAATGCTTTTATCTTCAAGCCACCTATTTTCATCCGCTGGCTGTCTTCATTCTATTTCTGTTCTTTTAGTTACCTCTCTAACTCCTGGAAATGACAATGAATGCGAGAATTAGGGATGGAAGTTAACTCTCCTATCTATATCATGTCTATATCTCCTGTTCCTTTGTTGTCCTGAAGTTCTTCCGGCGCGGCATCCCAACCTTACCTATCTCAGCGGTTCTGGAGCGCAGTGGCAAGGAGGGAACATCAGAAAAGCAAGAACAACTGGCGCGCGTGGTGCCGGTCATCTGAGGGTGGATGTCGGTCCCCTGAGAAGGAAGTGCTTGCAAATGGCGAAGAAGCTTCCGCCTAGATTGTGAAGTGGGGCCGTATCACACGGCAGCGTCAGCACAAAATCATCAGCGCCCTACTGGCAGTGAAGCAGTCACCTTCAGGCGGAGAGTCCATCAGGGTGTGTGGAAGTTCCAGACCTTTCCCTGCTTGTGGTCGAAGATTGGATGCTCCGTTCATTGTAAATTCTGTCGGCAACGAGGGCAAGGCCCAAAGAGTTCTACCTCTGTCGAAAATGCAACCCGGCTCGTGTTGAGAAAGGTCGAAGTGGCGCAGGTGGAAAGGTGTCCACGGTGTGGCAGCGCTGTCCAAATTCCTCGTCAGGATCCAGGCCGTCATCTTTTGGGATGGTCCGATGCAATTTCTTGAGATGGACTTCGAAATCAGTGGTTCCGAAGAAACAATCTCTGCGATGAAGCCCCACTACCCGCCCCTGAGTTAAGATCTTCCACGAACTTAGCTGAGGGAAGATGAAACCCGCTGGCAGAGCCAATGACGGGAAGATAAAACCCGACTCCACTTTGGATGGTCTTACGAACCGAAGCCATTTGCACCACTGACTTCAGGGCTGCCAAGAGATCTGAAACGGCGTCGTCGTCGTCCGGTCCGACTCCGGGCAGAGCTCTACGTCCTGACCCGGCGGGTGTCACGGGCGATGAATCAGTTCCACCTGAAACGCGGTCGTAGAGCGCGATGGAATTTCTCAGAAAATACTGGTGGCCACCACGTGGACTCGGTGAACGCAGGCTGTGGCAGGCGACCGGTGTTCTGATCCTTACGTCAGTGTGCAGCCTGGGTTAAGGCCTGGCCTGCGCTCGGCCAATATAGTCCTGAATGGCCGATATTGGGAGTGCGGTAAACCCGTCACTCACGTTGACAGGGCTCGAGAAAAACGTGCTTGTCTGGTGCACTTTTCAATAACTTGGTTATGAACCAACGGATTCGGCAGTTGGAACAGTGGCTTGGAACCACTCCCCATGGATTTGTCTCATCCACGCCATGGGGCGGACCTTGTGGCCTGCATGTGCTGAAGGATAGGTGGGCACCTTTCTTCGTTGAAACCGAGAGAAAGCCCAGAATTTCGGGAGGGTCCGAGTCTTACACCCAGGTCGGCTTCTGTTTCCGCATGTTTTATTTCCCCAGTCCCCCGACTTAAGCAAATGGAAGGTGACTGGATGGTTGCTTTCTCGCTGTGTCGTTGTCATAAGTCGATGCTGACCAGGGAGAGGGAGAGGGAAGAGAGAGAGAATTCTTGCAACTTGCCCAGATGCTTATGCGGGTTCTCAAAATGGACACCTTTTTTTGTCGGTAGCTCAAGGGAAGCCAAAACGAAACCAATTCGTTCCGGGCACTCAGTTTCCGTGCCCGTGCCGGAGGCCAAGAAAAGCGGTGCGCAGCCGCAGACAGATCGCGGCAACGCCATTCTCAAGGCGACGAACCGGATCTACACTCGGGCCCATGTTTCTCCTCGCTCGGAAACCATGGATCTTGCTTGCCCGAAGGCCGACCTAAAGGAACCCACCTCGCTGAGGCCTCACTTGGGTCACCCAAAGACCGTTGTCCGAATGCAAAATGTGGTTGTTACTTTATGAGAACGTATTGAGTTGTTTCATTGCTTTGTGTCGTTGATCGTTTGTTTGTTGGTTGGCTTTGTGGTTGGTTGTCTACAAAAGCAACAACGCCCAATGCAAATGTGGCTTTGTAGAACAATGTTCGACCCAAATGTGGAAAGGCATTGGTGGCTCGACGTCCTCAAAAGGGCCGTCCCCCCCGCCCCCGAAAAAAGATGCTTGCTACAGCTGGGAAAGAGAAGCAAGAATAGTTTTATTGTTGTTATTTACAAAAAGATAAGCCAACAAAAACACAACAATGGTTGTTTCGATTTGAAACAAACACGCAATGTGTTTGTTGTTGTTTCAACCCAAATTGTGTATATATATATATATACCCCTTACACCCAATACCCACTCTTTTTAGAGTATGATGTCGACCCTCTACTAAAAAAGGGATCGGTATGTACCATGGAAACCCGAAACCGTTAAAAAAAAAAATATAAAAAAAAATATAAAAAAAAATTAAAAAAAAAACAAAAAAAAATATTTAAAAAAAAAAAAAAAAAAAAAAAAAAAAAAAAAAAAAAAAAAAAAAAAAAAAAAAAAAAAAAAAAAAAAAAAAAAAAAAAAAAAAAAAAAAAAACACGGCCGAATCGATCTCTGGCCAACCAGAAAAAGGCCGAATCGATCTCTGTATTTCCAGGTTCGGGGGGTATATCTCATCCCGTTGCGGTTCCGAAGCCGGAAGCTTCTCGCCTAAGTTACCCTCATGCCGACAGGCGCTTTGCAAAAAGCTGAAGGCCGGGCGCGCGTCGAGCGTTGAGACCAGGTGGTTCGTCCCGAAAGCAGCTCGTTGGTTTTTGGGAGTGGGGCATAGTGGGAGTGGGGCATAGTGGGACCATGTTTAAGGTAGGCAGCGCTGCAGAAGCAAAAGGAAAGGCTAGGTCCCCCAGTAGTGCCCTTGTACCAACTTTTTTGGGGGAGGGTTCCCCTGCTAAAATAGACTACAGAAAAAAGGGTACCCTTATTCTCACCACTCTACTGCAGGACCTAGGAAAGGTGTAGTGCCGCGTTTCAATTGTGTTTCGCCAGACTAGAGTGAAGCATAATTCCCGCTCTGCAAAGTCGTTTGGCTTTGGGTCGCCGCTTTCTCTTCCCAGTCGGAATTGAAAGTAGTCTTGTAGGGATGGTTGGATGGGACTCAACCGCTTTGGCAGAAGGAGGGTGCGCTTTCCGGAAAAATGGTGACTATGATCCTTTACAAAGGCTCGGGCTCCCTTGTTTCCAGTTTAGGGATTCTCCTGGTCCAACCGTGGTTTAGTGGACAGGATGTTTTTTGAAAGACTTCCTCTTCACAAGGCGCCTGCACGTCCATGTTTGAAGCCAAAAGGAGTCATGTGAGCAATTTGTTCGGCACCTTTCAAACAGGGGTTGCACTCAGTGCTAGCCGTGCTAAATCCGTGGTACTTGATGCTACTTCCCGGTTGTCTTAGAGCCCAAAGGGAGGTTCTTCAACCAATTCCGCACCTAGTCCCGCAGTGGCACTCTGGTTTTCCCGCTTTAACGTGAAGGGTTTCCTCTTAAAGTCAACGAGAAAGAAGAAATGGAAATCCACTGGGCTTCTCAGGATGCTCAGATGCCTTCGGTTCTTGAACCGAGCGATGTGGACAGAGGGTGGGGGGGGGGGGGGTGAAACGGCATGCCGGCCCCGCCCTTAAAGCAGGTTTGGGGTGGGGGAAGCGGACAAGAAAGTTGGTTTCTCCATGGTTTTGATAAGCAAAAAGGAGCATCATGTTTCTCTTCTAGGTCCCCCAGTGGTGCCCTTTTACCAACTTTTTTGGGGGAGGGTTCCCCTACTAAAATGGACAAAAAGAAGAAACGGTAGCCTTATTCTCACCTTCAAAACGGGAGGACCTGGAGAAGAAACGCTTTGATCTTTCGCTCCGATGGTTCAAAAGGCGAGCAGATCAGATCCTTTGAGCCAGGCCCAACTGGAATCCGTCGATTCAGACGGCCGGGGTGCCGAGAGGAACGTGGGGTTTGGCAGGGGCAAAAGAGCGTGCTGATGTGGGTCCAAAGCTTTCCTGTTGTTTGGCAAGTGTTTTGGTATTTGGTTTTGATTTGTTCGGTTTTGCTCATGTTCAGTTTTGGTTCTGTTCATGGTCAGGGGGCTGCTGTTTGCTACCAAAGGGCCGTAAAGAAAAGGACACCAAAAGGGGATCCCAGAAAGCTGGATCGTTGTCTGGGCTGTTGGGGTCTCCGTTTGGGAGGGACCCGTTGGCTTGGATCCCCAAGGCGAAGTTCCCAGACGGGGCACTTGAACAACTCAAACGCCTCCGTCTTCGCTGAAAGGGATCCGACTGGTTTCAACTGGTTTCCCTCTGAAGACTGAAATCGATTTCGGTGTTCTTGTTTCCCACTGGTTTCAACTGAAATCGATTTCGCTGGAAACCTGTAGGTCCTTTTTTTTCCAGGGGACGGATGTGCAAATGGAGGAACAGAGGTTGTTTGCTCCCAATGCACTGGAGGTTAAGCCTGTGGGGTTCAACCAAAACACATGGGCCATCAGGCAGACCGTTTCTCAGTTGGTATCACAGATTTTCATCCACTTCAAAGTGAAGGCTACGGAAAATTTTGCGGCTTGGTTTGTCCAGACCCCATCAAAATTGGATTGAAGAGTTTCAAACAAGGTGTTTTCTTAGCTTCTTCCAAGAGCCGAAGGTCTGACCTCCAATTCCAGGGGGCCTGGGACCCCTCGCTTCTGAAAGCCAGATCCGAGGTCCGGAGGAAGCCATGGGCTACGGCAAGTCATTCTGAGCCGAAGACAAAACCCGGCGACCGAGGGCCCGCGAAAATCGGGCTGCACACTTCACTGCTGGGCAACGGATCTTTAGACTTTGACTTTTGGTTGAAACAAAGGTGTTGTCCACTAAACCCCCAAGTTTTTAGCTTTTTGAAGGGGGGTTCTGCTTGCAACCAAGCACAGAGTGTTTCCCAATTTGGGGGATTCCACCAAAAAAATTGGGCCAGCGAAGATACCAAAGCCTCAGAGCCTATGGGCACTCCCGGGTTTTGAGCTTTGACGCGTGCATGTCGATGCCGGCAATGGAAAGAAACGCTCGAAGGAAAGAATGCCCAGAAGTCGCTCCGATTTTTTATTTGTATAATGTATATATATATATACATAATACATACATATATATATATATATATTATAGCTTTTTTTTTTTGGGGGGGGGGGGGGGCTTTAGTTCTCCACTCGCCAGGCCAAACATATCTCCACTCACCTTCGACAAGCCGGCCCCGACTCGCTGGCTTTGGATTTCTGGCGCAAACCAACCCCGGAACTGGTGCCTTGGATTCACAGAACAAACCAAACCAACACCCACAAAACAAACCAAGAAACTAGACTGCCCAATAGGGCAACGGATAGACTTTAGCTTTTTGGCTGAAATCAAGTGGCGTTTTCCACTAAACCCCCAAAAAGTTGTTCACTTTTTGCAGGGGATGCTGCTTGCAACCAAGGATTGGTTTGGAATTTCGACCGGTCTTGTCGAGGGGAAGTGGGAAACCATCTCCAAACCAATCCAAGCCAGAGAAAAGCTGGCCATGAATCTCAATCGCGCGAAGTTTGAGGGTCTTATGGGGTGAAAAACCCATTTTTTGGTTGGTAGTTTCAGGGTCCAGGTGGGTTCCCTCTTCAAATTCGCCGGCAAAGCTCCGAACCCCGAGCGAGCCAATTGGGCAGTCCATTGCCGGGATCCCGTCGCTCGAAGATCCTTTTCCACTCGTTTGACGCACTTATGACTTGGCTACATATATATATATATATATATGTCTGTATCTGTATGTGTGTATATATGGGTCTGTCTCACAACACGGGATTTAAAGGATTTAAAGGTAGGAGTCAGATTTGAGCAACACGCTTGTTGGGAGTTGGTACCAGTTTCAGGTTGGTCAAAAGGAAGGCCCGCCGCTTCCTTGGTTTGGACCTTTTTGCTAGATCGTTCCATGGGCCAATCGGAATCGAGAAACACTTTGGGTCAGACACTTGGTTTTCTGTTCTCCTGGTTTACTGAAAGTCGCAAGAGGAATGGCTCCAAGTTGCTGGGTCACGGAACTGAATTCCTTCTCCAATTGTTGCCATGTCCAGATTAGAGGGTTAACCCCTTCAAAACCCACTGGGTGATCAAGTTTTTCTATTCCCATTCCGAGTGGTAAAGGCCTTTGAGGCCCTAGCCTCCAAAGTTGACGCTCGATCCGAAGCTTCGTGTCCGAATTCGATCGGCGCAGGCCAATCGCGACCCAGACTAGACTGGGTGTAAGGCAGACTATAGAACCCCAAAGACCCCAAGAAAAGGATTAGAAGGACATACGGCGTAGCTCTGCGAGTCTCCGCCAAAAAAAAACCATCAGCGGAGTCACAGGTTCTCGTCCATCGCAGACTCGCCGCGCATGTGGAAAAAAGCGAGAAACACCGTAAACAGCGCATCGCTTTGTGTCCACGGGCTGCATGTCTTTTCAGGTTGGTGGTGCTCGAATTGAGTTATCTTTTTGGGTGGAGCAATTTCCTTGGGAAATTGAATGAGACGGGAAATATGGGGGGCCCCAGTCGGTTGCCGGAGTTTCTTGGAAGGGAAGCACCAGACACAGGGTTGGGACACCCTTGTGCGGTTCCATGTGTTTTTTTTCAGGGGGGTTTCAGTGGGGCTGTCTCAGCCGAAAGTCGGCGGGAAGCTCCCTTCAAATTCACCCAAAGGCAACGAGCCTCAGACAAACACCCAAAGGCAGCTTTGTCTTGGCTCAAGACATGGCTGTTGCTGAAACTTGTTTTGGTCAAAGCACCGCACGGGCTTTCATGGACGTGTTGCCCGGGCTTTTTTATTTTTGGGTCGGTGGGGTGTCACCTGTTTCAGCTCAGTGGATCCGACGTGGGGATGGCTCCAGTGTTCTCTTGGGGGACTTGTGTTTCCCGCCAAGAAGTTCAACCTCGGGGAGGCTATCCACAATCTCTTCACTTCATGTGGGTACGAGATGCTCCAGGTCATTCATGGTTGTGGGGAAATTGGGGGGGTTTTAGGTGCTTAAGAATACTGTGTGGTTTTTGTCCCCCCCCCTTGTTGGTCTAAAGCGACTGGTTCACTACCCGAAATATATACTTTATTAACCAGGCTCCCGCCTGCTGCCGCCGACCCTCGGCGGATTTGCAGAGAGAACCCCAGGGGGGTATGCGGCGGAAACCGGATTAACGGACAGGTCGGAAAGATGGCCGCTCGTCCGTTAATTGCCGCGCGGGCCGGTTTCTGCGCCTGGGACCAGCCTGGACTGGGGGGACCCAGTCCAGGCTGGTCCCAGGAGCCCGTGCGGCATTAACGGACGAGCTGCCACCGTTCCGACGTGTCCCTTAATCTGCGCGGGGCCGGTTTGCGTCGTTCAAGGTGCGTCGACCTGGGAGGCCGAAATAGCGGAGGAAACAGGTGTCCAGAGCGGCGTGGGTGGATCCGACGCCAGCAGTCGCACCAGGAGGCGAGCCCGAGCCGCGGCGAGGACCGGCCAGGACAGGTCCCAGCACAGGTCCTGGCACCGGTCCCAGGACCGGTCCCAGGACCGGTCCCAGGACCGGTCCCAGGACCAGTCCCAGGACCGGTCCCAGGACCGGCCTGGGACCGGTCCTGGGACCAGCGCCAGGACGAAACCGGGTCCCAGGACTGGTCCTGGGACTGGCCCCAGGACCGGTCCCAGGACCGGTCCCAGGACCAGTCCCAGGACCGGTTTTGCTCGTCCGCAAGCAGCGCGAAGCACCAGAACCAGGGTCCCAGGACCGGTCCCAGGACCGGTCCTGGGAATCCACTTTTTGTAGGTTCGGGTGTGTCCCCCAGGGACCATCATTGATTCCAATCACTTCCAGTTGCATCCCACGCCGGTCCCCTCTGCAAGAGGCTGGGACAGGAGGCAGAGGGTCGGCGGATTCCCTAGGGACGTATTCGCAACTGAAGGCTTCATGGCTTCCGGGAACTCGCGTGGGAAGGTGGTTACGGGGATCGGATCTTCCGGATTTTCCAATCGCAGTCGCGGGTCTGTCTTTCGGACCCAAAATGGTGGCTTTCCTTGCGTTTCCCTTTAAAAACCAGACAAGAAGTGGTACCCTCAAAAGAAGGACACACCCATGTGGGTCGGTCTTTCTTTAGGGGAACCCAAAAGAATGGTAGTTTTTCTCGGTTTCCTTGAAACCACAGAGTCATGGGGGTATCCTCCAAAAAAAGACACGCCCATCACCGGCAGGCTTTTGAAATCAGCTAGCGTTGGCGCATGCGAACTGTGTCCTCCGCATTGCTTGTTTGTGCCGCTGCTCAAGGGCCAACTGATCCCGGACCAAGGTAAGGACACCAATCAGATGAACTCCCTGTAGATCATATCCTTAAAGGGGAACCCCCTGAACATGGTTGTTGTTGGGAAACATTTTACATTTTTGCTTATTGTGGTTTAGTGGGAAATCCCCACGTAACTGCTAGAATTTAAATATTGGCTCCCCTTCCAACGTCAACCAAGTTAAAGCGTCCGGAAGCCAACAATTATCTTGGTGGCTCTCAGCCAACCGGTTTCTGAGCTTTTTTGCCTGTTAGTGTTTAGTGGTAGTTTCCATTTTGCAGTGAAACTATGGACTGCCCAAAGCGCCCAAAGCAAATCGGGTCGATCCCAAAAGGACTCTTGTTCCCCCCATCCCCTTTCAGCTTGAGGTGCCTTGGCAAAAAAATCCACTTGTTTCAGAAAAAAAATGTCTTGCTGTGTCTCAGCGCGGAATAAGGGAATGACCCGCTATTTCCCAAACAAGGCTTCGCTCCATCCTACCGAAGGACCCCCTCCGCGTCGCCAAAGGCGCGCCCAAAGCGAGCCATGGGTGCCCAGGAAAGCCACGCCCTGCCCTCGCCCGGCGGATCGCCGAGCGGCTCTCGCTTGCTGGGGTCAGAGCTCGCGCCCCGAGCGCCTCGAGCAAAACTCCGGCTCTCGACGGCTCGACGGTTCTTGGCATGGTTCTATCCTAGAGCTTCACCACTTCCACTTGTTGAAGAATATTGTGTGATTTCCACCTCTTTGCTTTAAAGGGCATCTATGACTGCTTTAAAGGGCATCTATGACTACTGGAAATATGTTTTTGTTTCCAGGGGGCTTAAGAAAATGGAAGACCAGCTGTGCTGGTTGGCTGCAAGGGGTTGCTCAGCTCGCGCGCGCATCTCCGAAAAATGGTTCGCCGTCGCAGGAACCCCTTTCGCTCCCAGGGGGCCACTTTGGATTGGCATGCCGAAGGGGTAACCCAACTTGGATGGGCCACTTTGGAGATTCTACGGTTTTTTGAAGGGGCAAAATGACAGGTGGCAAGGCCGATCTCGGGGATGTTTTGGGGTCCAGATGTGCCCGGATGCAGATGCTGAGGAAGGGTTTGGCACCAACAGAAATTGTCAGCTGTATACCCTGGACAGGGTTGCCCGCTCTTCGAGCTCGCAGACACACAGCGAAGCTGGATTTATGTTGTTTTATGTGGTGCTTTGTTGTGTTGTTGAGTCTTGTTGCGTGCAGTCAAGGAGCAAAGTTTGTTGCAAACAGAGGGGAACGAAACGCTGAAGTTCAAATGTTCAGTTGGGTATGTGGGGGGGGGTTATCGAAGTAGTGGTCTCCTAAACGATCGGTTCCCTTGTGGTGTTTTTTGGGAAACGCTGTCTTTGTTGAGTAGGGTCATGTTCAAAGAAAGGCCTTGTTGAGTGGTTCTTGATGCTGCAAATGCTTCACTCACTTCCTGAGCTCCTGGACTTTAAACTTTTTGGGGAGACCACTTTAGTGATAAACGCTTGGACTTATTGTGGCTTATCCACTGAGAAAGTGAGTTTGCCTGCAAACCACAATTTGAAGGGAGACGTTTTGTGTATGTGACCTTGATGGTTCCAGTCAATATGGAGACTCACAGCAGTCAGAGGAATTGTTCGCCAATCCTGCAACATGCCAGAGGCATGTTTGCTCTTCAATGTTAGAGGCTGTGGACAGGGCTGCTCCTATACGGTAAATGTAGCAGCCGGGATGGATGCAGTCCTAGGGGTTTTCAATAAATCACCTAACGGGCCTCAAATATAGGGCCACATCGATCCAGTTCAAGTGGAACCTCTCGGATGTATCTGGACATTCGGGGCAATCCAAGAAATAATTCCCTTTGGAGCTGGTGGGATTGTTTCCTCCGAAGTTATACCTTTGCCCTTTCTTTGCCCCACTGGGACGTCTCCTGTATATCGCCTGAAGTCCGGCTGCACGTCTCGTGAGTGACAGGAGCTCGTGCGCCAACATCGCCTGCGCCGGGAAACCCATGGCCAGGCCTACGACTCCGTGACTGTGACCAGTGAGGCGACTTGGCGGGTCCCGAATTCTGTGAGACACAGTTGGGAACCAGTTGTGTGCGTGGCTCTCTTATTTGTTGGAAGCCTTTTGCTGGGTGTTTTCAAAATGGAAAAGTTTTTGGGTGTGTGTAAGTGTGGTTGTTTTTGTTAGGGAGGTTGGTGAGAGAAGCAGATGTGATGGGCGAGATTTATTTGGGTGCTGTTTGTTGGGCCTATCTTTTGCAGGGAACCTTTTGTTGGGTGGTGTTCAAAGGCAAACCACCCTTCTTGTGCGATGCCACAAACCACGTGTATCGCCAAGTCTGACTTCAGGTGAAGTCGAAGGAGTCGACGGACTTCAAGCATCTCTTCTCAGGCGGGTTGTGGTGAGGGCGCCCTGAGATTCTTTTTCGAGTTTGAGTTGCTCTGTTGGTTTTGAAGGGAAACCAGAAGGAAAAGCGTTTGGGGGTCCACATCACGCTAGGCAGGGTTGCACTAGCTCCAATGAACCTCTTGCTCAGAAACTCCAGTCGGGCTGTGCATAGGTCGGTGTACCCCCTACTCCAAATACCCATGTTTTTAAGGGTATTTTTTAGACAAGCCGATCGGGTTTCCATGGTAAATCCCGATCCCTTTTGTAGTAGCGGGTCGACCTGATACCTTGAAAAAAGGCATCGGGCAACAGGAGGTTACAGGGGCAAGTCACATTTTTGGGTGCTAAACCCTGATCCAATGAACCCCTTGTTGCCTTCCTCAGAACTCCAGTCGGGCTGGGCATTTTGGTGTAAGTCACTTTCCAGAGCCATGTGCCAAGTTTCCAACCCGCCCGCGAGCTTCGAGGTGTGGATTCGCGGAGATTCCTCGGAGACTAAAGCAGGGATCGGTAGTTACCTCGAAAAACCGAAACCGGTTTTCCAAAGAAGACCCTAGAAAAAGCGGGTATTTGGAGCAGGGGGTTGGTTAAAACACCCAGAGCTACTGTGGATTGCGAAATCCTCTTAGGCACCGTTCAGTGTGATTTGTGGTGCGAACGGTTTTCGTCCATCCACAGTATTAGCCCCTGAAACCGGGAATCAAAAGCAGGGATCAACAATCGATTGCTCGGTTGGGATTTGATGTCTCGAAACCCAGGGCCAATTCGCAAACTCCCGGACCATTTTTCTTTAAATGGGTGCGGTTTGAGCCAACCGCACATTTGGATCGAAGAGCTAATCGCCTTTGGCAATTTGTGGATCCTTACCCCTTACACCCAATACCCACTTTTTTGGGGGTATCATGTCTACTAAAAAAGGAGGTATTTACCGTGGAAACCCAGGTTTTTTCCAAAATAGCCTAGAAAAAGTGGGTATTTGGAGTAGGGGGTACCCTGGGTTTGGGAATTCTCCGTTGGGTTTGACTCACCACGAAAGCTGCGATGTGCCTTTCTGTCGGTCCGGTTGCGACCGGATTGCCGTTCTGTCCAGCGAACCGAAGAGACATCTTGGGCTTCAGCCGAAGAACTGGAGTCATAAAGGTCCGGTTAGACAGCTGCGGATGGTTCTAGCGGGGAATGATTCAAGCCCCACAAAGCATTTTGCTTGCATGGTTGTGATAGAGGATTTCGACACTCTCCCAACATGTTATTGTCTCAACTGCGCGTTTGGTACTTGAATTCATCCATAGAAACCTTCCTGCGCCATGAAGGTGGATGTGTACTTGCCCAGTGGCGATGGTTTCTCCATAGCAGTCTCATCGGAGATGCTCGTGAAAGAGCTGCAGGCTGCAGCGCAGCAGCATTTCCAGCGCCGCTTGACACTCACTGCAAAAGGCCAGCAGCTTGATTTGACTGCCACGCTGAGTGCGGCCGGGCTGCGTGATGGGGACATGGTGGCTGCAGTTGTGCAGCTTGGCAAACTGGCTGCTACTGATAGTGCCTTCGCTTGGTATGCCCAGGGGGACGAAGTTGTGACATGGGGTGATCCAAAGCGTGGCGGAGACAGCAGCCAGGTGCAAAAGCAGCTGAGGAACGTCCAGCACATTCAAGCAACTGCTGGTGGTGCTTTTGCTGCCATTCTTAAATGTGGGGATGTTGTAACCTGGGGTAATCCAGAACACGGCGCAGACAGCAGCCAAGTTCAGGAGCAGTTGAGGAGCGTCCAGCACATCCAAGCATCCCAGGGTGCTTTTGCTGCCATTCTTGAATCTGGGGATGTTGTAACCTGGGGTAATCCAGAACACGGCGCAGACAGCAGCGAGGTACAAGAGCAGCTGAGGAGCGTACAGCACATCCAAGCATCCCAGGGTGCTTTTGCTGCCATTCTTGAATCAGGGGATGTTGTGACTTGGGGTGATCCACGACTTGGCGGAGACAGCAGCAGGCGGGTGCAAGAGCAACTGAGGAACGTCCAACACATCCAAGCAACTGCTCGAGCTTTTGCTGCCATTCTTGGAAGTGGGGTTGTTGTGACCTGGGGTGTTGGAAGATACGGCGGAGACAGCAGCCAGGTGCGAGAGCAGCTGAGAAACGTCCGGTATGTCCAAGCAACTGTTGGTGCTTTTGCTGCCATTCTTGGATCTGGGGCTGTCGTAACCTGGGGTGATCCAAAACTTGGCGGAGACAGCAGCCAGGTGCGAGAGCAACTGAGGAACGTGCAGCACATCCAAGCAACTGATTTTGCTTTTGCTGCCATTCTTGAAAGTGGGGCTGTTGTGACCTGGGGTGATCCAGAAAATGGCGGAGACAGCAGCCAGGTGCAAGAGCAGCTGAGAAACGTGCAGCACATCCAACCAACTGCCAACGGTGCTTTCGGTGCCATTCTTGAAAGTGGGGCTGTTGTGACCTGGGGTGCTCGAAGATACGGCGGAGACAGCAGCCGGGTGCAAGAGCAGCTGAGGAACGTGCAGCACGTCCAAGCAACTGCCGGTGCTTTTGCTGCCATTCTTGAAAGTGGGGCTGTTGTGACCTGGGGTGATCCAGAGTATGGCGGAGACAGCAGCCGGGTGCAAGAGCAGCTGAGGAACGTGCAGCACGTCCAAGCAACTGCCACTGCTTTTGCTGCCACTCTTGAAAGTGGGGCTGTTGTGACCTGGGGTGATCCAGAGTATGGCGGAGACAGCAGCCAGGTGAGCTTGAATCTGGGGCTCTTGTAACATGGGGCCGTTCTGCTTTTTCTGGGCGCTTAAAGCGTGCTGAGCGAAGGGCGACAACCGTTTTGGCATCGCAAACTTCCATGTTCTGAAGAACATATCAGCTGTGTCACTCTCAAGAAGCACATTCTTTCAAGGCCAATTTTCCACCCAAGGGGTGAACGTCGGACCATTTCTTTGCCAAAGAAACTCGGGGCTTCTGACCTAAAGCCTCTCCGACTTGGCAGATAGGTTTTGTCAGACGCTCGGGATGAAGAAGTCTACGCGTAAAACGAAGAAACGAACATCGCGCGCACACGATGCCCGGGTTTTGTGCCAGGCAACCATGTTTTTTGGGCCAGGACGACGGGTTTTGCGACCACTCGGATAGGAATTGAACAAACTCGCAAGATGTAGAATGCAACTTCTTTAAGCCTATTTCCCCATTTGGTGGATTTTTCTGGTTTTTCGGTCCCAGAAGAAGTGTCCATGTCGCTTTCCGAGAACGGCCCCAACAGAGGGCTCCACGAGAGAAGACTTCCAGGGGAGGGGGGTACAACAACGGCGGTAGACATCGTGGTGAACGAGTTGTTGTTTCTTAGACTTGAGTGACTTCAGTCTTTGCACCTTGAAGTTTCCCCGATTGGGATTTGGTTTGGGGTCCTTGGTTCTTAGTTGGGTCAATGGGAAATGGGGAACGGGGAAACGGGTCCCTCCTGAACCGAAGCGAATCGATTCGGCTTCAGGGCGCCCTGAGATTCTTTTTCGAGTTTGAGTTGCTCTGTTGGTTTTGAAGGGAAACCCGAAGGAAAAGCGTTTGGAAGCCTGATGTGTAACCCGAACTTCCGACTGACACCTTTGGAAGCCTGATGGTTTTCCCGAAAGCATGGCGAAGGGTTCTTCCGCTGGGTTCACTTGAGTTGTTCTCATGAGAGTCATTGCAAGGAATCATCATCATGAAAGTCAATGCAAGGAGTCATTGCAAGGAATCATCATCATGAAAGTCAATGCAAGGAGCCATTGCAAGGAGTCATTGCAAGGAGTCATTGCAAGGAGTCATTGCAAGGAGTCATTGCAAGGAGCCATTGCAAGGAGTCATTGCAAGGAGTCATTGCAAGGAGTCATTGCAAGGAGTCATTGCAAGGAGTCATTGCAAGGAGTCATTGCAAGGAGTCATTGCAAGGAGTCATTGCAAGGAGTCATTGCAAGGAGTCATTGCAAGGAGTCATTGCAAGGAGTCATTGCATTGCAAGGAGTCATTGCAAGGAGTCATTGCAAGGAGTCATTGCAAGGAGTCATTGCAAGGAGTCATTGCAAGGAGTCATTGCAAGGAGTCATTGCAAGGAGTCATTGCAAGGAGTCATTGCAAGGAGTCATTGCAAGGAGTCATTCATTGCAAGGAGTCATTGCAAGGAGTCATTGCAAGGAGTCATTGCAAGGAGTCATTGCAAGGAGTCATTGCAAGGAGTCATTGCAAGGAGTCATTGCAAGGAGTCATGAGAGTCATTGCGAGCTGCAAGGAGCCAAGCGCATGGAGTCAAGTGCAAGTTGCAAGTGCAAGCAGCCAAGTGCAAGTTGCAGGTGCAAGGAGTCAAGTGCAAGTTGCAAGTGCATGGAGTCAAGTGCAAGTTGCAAGTGCAAGGAGTCAAGTGCAAGTTGCAAATGCAAGGAGCCAAGTGCAATTGACTTGCGAGGAGTTAAAATCTCGTCTTAGGGCGGCGGGGTAGTGCCGACGACACTACACGAAAACCGACCCTCTGCGGGGATCGGCGTGGTCGAGGTGAAAAAACTTGAGGTTTTTTGCGATTTCTGCGGTGCTCGCGCGACCCTCTGCGGGGATCGGCGTGGTCGAGGTGCAAAAACTCGAGGCTTTTTGCGATTTCTGCGGTGCTCGCGCGACCCTCTGCGGGGATCGGCGTGGTCGAGGAGCAAAAACTCGAGGTTTTTTGCGATTTCTGCGGTGCTCACGCGACCCTCTGCGGGGATCGGTGTGGTCGAGGTGCAAAAACTCAAGGTTTTTTGCGATTTCTAAAGATCCCGGGCGACCCTCTGCGGGGATCGGCGTGGTCGAGGAGCAAAAACTCGAGGTTTTTTGCGATTTCTGCGGTGCTCACGCGACCCTCTGCGGGAATCGGCGTGGTCGAGGTGCAAAAACTCGCGACTTTTGTTGTTCGAACTGGTCCTCGGGAGTTGCGCCTGCTCCCGGGCCGGCGGGTTGCGGGTTCGATTCCTCCCTGGTCCGCGGGCGGGCGTCGCAAGATGCAACTTGCATTTTAAAGCAACTTGCGCAGAGCAACTTGCATAGAGCAACTTACGCAGACCAACTTGCAACGACCAGTTTGCGCAGAGCGCCTTGCCTAGAGCAACTTGCGCAGAGCAACTTACGCAGAGCAACTTGCACAGAGCAACTTGCACAGAGCAGCTTGCACAGAGCAACTTGCAGGGAGCGCAATTTGCACAGAGCAACTTGCAGGGAGCCACTTGCAGGGACCAACTTGCCGGAGCAACTTGCGCAGCAACTTGCGCAGAGCAACTTGCACAGACCAACTTACACCGACCAGTTTGCGCAGAGCACCTTGCCTGGTGGTGTCTCGCGCTTGCTTCACAAATGCTTCGTGGAGGGAAAAAGAACGCATCCTGCAGCGTTGGGCCGACCTCGCTTGCGATGTTATGCTTTCGGGCCAACCGTGGTCTAGTTTTTTGATCCGATGCCTTGGAAGGGGTTTGGATGCTTCCTGAGCCCAGTTGCAAGCCCATATAGCACAAAACCAGCTATTTTTTGGTGTTTTGTATCGGGTGGTGTTCTTGGTTTCCTTCTATGCAGATAAATGGATCCACTGGGATGGCTGCTTGGGTTGTTTTCAGAGAGCCGGCGCCCCCCTACAATTGGCTTCCGATCCAGGTTGAAACTGGGCTCGGGTCCGCCACATGGATTCCTGCCCTCGGTGTGTTTGGAGGGGATGGCCGTGAGAAGATTAATGTGAACTTCGCAAACTGGAATGAGTGGGATTGATTGGTAGGGAATTTGTCAGTAGCATCCGCGTTAGAATGCGAAACTATCATGTCCTTCTTGGAAATGTGTTGTTTGCTTGGGTTTTGAGGGTCCCCGTAAAAAGGGGTCGTGTAACCAGGACATGCATGCCAACCAAAACGGCCAGTTGAAATAAATAAATTTAAGCTCCACTGCTCCTTGCGAGTTCTAAACTACGCGCTGGCAGTAAGCCTTGGAAGACCGACGTAATGTGCTCTAAACAAGATTTCATCTGGAAATTCGTATCAAATTGAATACGCTTCCAACTGTATGTTAGAAAGCAATAGGCAAAACCCGTTCAACACGAATTTCTGTCCTTTCGCACCTTTCGAAAAGAGCAGAGCATCTTTCGAAAAGGAATCAAGTAAACGAAGACCCTGGGAGGGTTCCGTGAACGGTTTTTTTTTCAGCGCCAAAATGGAAAGGGTTCTCTGTGGGTGCCGATTTTAGGTTTATGGGATTTGGCTGGGATTCTCTCGACACACACCCTGAGTGTTTGGTGTCCTTTTTGGGAAGGATTTTGGAACGAATGGGGAAGCTGCCGGAACCCAAAAACAAATCGCGAGCTCTTGATGCCCTCTACGGGTCCAGCGGATGTCCCTTAAACCCGCGGAGAGCCGGGAACTTTGATGCGTGAAAAAGCTGTGACTCGGCCCAAAGCGAATCGACAGGATCTAAGCTGTTGGTTTCCTTGATTCGGGTCACTTTAGTCCAAGTTCCAAAAGGTTGTAGCTGAGGGGCCACTGAAATGTTGGGATCTTTCGGCTACCCAACAACGTGTTGATCTTGGATGCCAATGTAGTGGTACTCCTCTCATTTTCCAAGTTCCTGGGTGTTGTTTTGTTTTAATGCTTTTGGGAAGCATTTTTGAACCGCTTACCGCTCGGGCTTGGGCCCTCCTCTGATGCGAGTGTGCGGCTCGAGATCTCATGCCCAGAGGGGAGGCCTTCCGAATACCCCAAGTTGAAGAACTGTCAGAGTCGTTGTACCAAACTAACACCAACCAAAAGATGTTCCCAAAAAACAGAAAGACGAGCTACCCATATGAGAATGCGAAGAGAAGTGTTGATTTCACCAGCCCCCCGCCCCAAAAGAAAGTCACCAGCCCCCCCCCAAAAGAAAGTTAACCAACAGCTACCAAGTTTTGAATAACCCCTCCCCCCAAACCTCGCTCCCCCGCCAAACCCCCCAACCCCCAAAACCTGCAGGTCTTTTTGCCACCTTTGGCGGAGAAAGGATCGACCTCTCGTGAAGGATTCCTTGATGGGGGTGACCAATTTTCTCAAAGGTGGCAGAAAGAAACAGCAACTGTGAAGTGTTGATTCCCCCCCCCCACCCCCCAAAAAAAAGCAACTCTTCCCCCCAACCCCCCACACCCTCCCAACCCCCCAACCCCCCAAACCGTTCCGAGCCCCGCAGGCACCGGGCGCAAGCACCAGCTGGAGGTTCAGATCATCTCCGCCCGCGGGCTCCGCAACGCGGATTGGTTCGGCACCTCGGATCCCTACTGCGTCTGCAAGGTGCGCCTCGGATCCAACCATTTTGGCTGATCCCAGTGGAGTCCGGCTTCCGGCTCTTGCAACTGTCTTTGGGTTTTGGGCTCCAGTTTTTATGGAGCCTGTACCCCCCTCTTTCCTTGGGCTTCTCTTGCAGGGGAGGCTTAGGAAGCCTTGCGGAAGCCTTGGGGAAGCTTGGCCTGACACCCGCCCTGCGCATGGCGGGAACACTGATTGGACAAAAATGTTCGCCCCAAACCTGCAAATTCGGTTGGCAAGGGAAGCCTTAGGGAAGCCTCAAGGAAGCCTTAAGGAAGCGTTAGGGAAGCCTTAGGGAAGCCTTAGGGAAGCGTTAGGGAAGCTGGAAACCTTAGACAAGGCCTAGGGAAACCTTGGGGAAGCATGTTTGCGGAAAGCTTAGGGGGACGCAGCACTTTCAGAAAAAGCAACTCGAATCTCTTATGATTTCCCTAGGTTAGGGGGACGCAGCAAAGTAACGCAGCTCGAATCTACGATCAAAATCAAAAGGTCTCTTAGGTTCAGCTTAGGAAGTCTTAGGGAAATTCCTCACCGCCCTAGGGATAGGACCCAACTACCTTAAGCGGGGGGGGGGGGGGGGTGGGAGGCGGGGGGGGGGGTACAGGCAGTCATAACCTTTAGATCCACCAACCCCCCGTTGCAACCAGGTTGCTTTCTTTTTAGCAGCTTTCTTTCGGGTTTGGGGTTCCCTTTAAAGTCAACCGCCCAAAAAAGGGATGCCCTTTTTGTTCCCATGGTTACTGGGCATCAGTGGATTCTGGCTGACTTGGTGGATCCACCCACCGGCACCCCCGACCTCTTTTTGTTGGGGTATTTTCCTGGAGCACCTGGCTTTTTCATTCGCCCTACGCCAAATACCCACTTTTTCTAGTTGGTATGTTTTCGGAAAACCTGGTTTTCAGGGAAGATACCAACCTCTTTTTGTTGGGTATGTTGGAAAACCTCCGTGTATATTTTTTCGGAAACTGTCGCCATGTTTGGGAATTCTAAGGCCCGACTGTCAGCAGGGTCAACTGTACCCCCTACTCCGAATACCCGTCCTTGTTTTAGTTGGTATGTTTTGGAGAACCGGGTTTTCAGGGTAGATACCTCTGTTTTTTGTAGAGAGTTGACATCATACCCAGAAAAGCACCCGTTGCAACCAATCGATTCTGTTGGCTTTTTCCATTGCCTTTGGGGTTTTGGGCTCCCTTTAAAGTCAACCAACCAACAAAAAGGATGCCCTTTTGTTCCCATGGTTACGGGGCATCTGAGAGCCTCTATTTTTTGGAGAACGGTTGTCGGTTTTCCAGATACCGATCTCGGTTTTTGGTAGAGGATCGACATCATACCCAGAAAAAAGGGTGGGTACTTGGAGCAGGGGGTAATGAGAAGAGTACGAAAAGACGAGTCAACAAGAGCCAACCGATGGAAGTAGTGACATCCACAAGCGCAGTTCCAAACCGTTCTCCAGAACAAAGGCAAAAGCGGCGCCTTTTTTGGCCCATGTTTTTGGTCCAAGGTACCCACTTGTTATGGTTTGAAGGGAAACCGGAGGTGGTTTTGGTGTCCCCGGATTCTTTCACGTAGCTACCTACCTGGAGTTTCTGTTCGGTCCTGAGAAGGGGTTCATATCCCAAATTGCGCCAAGATGCGCATTGCTTTAGCACCTGCCAAAACCGATTCTGGTTCATGGTGGTAGGTTCTGCTTGCCAGTTCCATGTGTTTCATTTTTAGTTTTTTTTTGTTTTTTTTGTTTTGTTTTCTTTTTTTAGTCAAGCCTATATAATAAACGTTTATCGCCTATAAACCTTTGCGGAAATGGAGCCAAAAGTCAAGCATTTCTCACCTGGCAAACGACATCACAGAGGCCAAGATGTGGCTCTCAACACCGAAAGCATCACCTGGGAAAAGTCACCCGCAAGGGTCAGAGAATTGATTTCGGGTTCCCTATCAAGCTAGGAATGGACCGGCTCGGCGTGCTTGATTCGGTCCTTAATCGCAATGGATGATTAGCATTGAGAACTGTCTCAAACCGGACACGTATGCCCAAATGATGGCCGGGTCCCCAAATTAAATCATACCCAAATGGAATCGAAAAGGGGTCCAAATTTGGCTCTAGTGGTGAAAAGATTCACGTAGGTATGTGCTTCTGAGTTGGTACCCTTTTTGGGGTGGGTTCAAAGGTGGAGCCACCTTTGTTCTTTCTCTTTTTTCTTTTTCTTTTGGTGGGGGGGGGGGGGGGATTCTGAACATCGAGCCACACCGAAACCCACGTTGCCTGTTGCACTGGCCGGACCCGCCTTTTCACTGTTTACCAAAAAAAAAAACGCAAGGGAAACCATCATGAGGCATCCGATTCCTATGTTGACAAACCCCCACCAAAGATGAGTCCCCAAAAGGTGATACTTAAAGGTTGGAAGAGTCCCCTTAACCAGAACCATGCTCTTTCAAACACGAGAGCTTCAGTTTTCCCTGCCAAAACCAAGCCCAAAGACCCGACCAACCAGCCAGCCAGCCAGACTGCGAAAGGTGGACCTCCGATTCCAATCACGCCAGCTCCGAGGACTGGGACCGAGGCGTCATTTCAGACTCGCACCATTGATGAGACCACAGAGCCCCACTGGGAGGACCGGACATCGGGGCCTGCCTCAACTCCCGGCTTTCATGCCCCAGCTTAGTCACCTCAGCGTCAGAAATAAGCGTGTCTTGTTTTTCTTCTGAATTTCTCGCATAAATGTCTCGGTACTCTTTCTCCAACAATCATAGTCGACCCCAGTAAAAAAAATCAAACACCTACATCATGTTAGTATCGCCTCTAAGGTTGCACAGAAGCTGCCATGTAAGCGGTGCCCCGGGTCAAAAAAAAAGAAAACATAGCACTCGGGGAAAGTACCACCAACGGCCGGTCTTTCTGGGGAATGGGTTGTGCGTGGCATGGAGCGAAGGGGAATGATGTCCAGGCCGTGAGCTACCATGTAAGCCTGGTTTGGGGGGGTCCGCGGTTGCTAGGGGTGCCACGTTAGTGTAACCTCTGTTTTCATTTTCCCATGGCTTGATGCAGGAGTGCCACGTGAGTACAACCGTACATGTCTTGATGGGGAGTGCCAAACCCATCGATGCAATCCAACAAGGTCCAAAGAGGACACAACTCAGAAAAGACATTTGTTTCTGCTGCTTCAAGTTCTTTCTCGGAAATGGCCGTTTGAAGCGGCTTTCCAATGGGAGAATGTCAAGTTTATGGAAAAGCTTAACATGGCAGACCCAAAACAGGTTTGCATCGTTGCGCACAACTTTCTATTCGGACCATTGTTGCAAGACTGTGGAATTGCAACAGCTTGATGGGCTGTTGCGCAACCTAGTCTTGAGTCCCAACTCTTTCACATTGCCTTGGCATTTGGTGTGTACAGTTCCTGTGAACAGCAGCGGGCCCTTGCACCGATTGGTTTCTGTAAGCCACTGAACATTGCTTTCTACGACTGATTTGCAGAAGATTGAGCTAACATGGATCTCGTCCTGTTTCCCCTGTAGCAGTCAAAGTGAGGGTTCCCGAATTTTACAGTAGCGCGCTCTACTTGGGCGGCGACCGTGACGGAAAAACTTCTTGCTGCAGGGTGTGTAAGCTGCCACGTTAGGGGTGGGTTGGGGATCAGACTGAAACACACGTAGGTGCCATGTTTATGAAACCGGTTTTAACTGTCCCCCAGCGTTCCCCGGGGACTACCCGTAGGCGATGCCCTGGCACGAACCGAAATCGTATTTGGTGCAGCTTCTATGTTAGCACAAAGATTTTGCAGGTGCACTGCCATGTAAGACCCGGAATTTGCTGTACACTTCCATGTTTGTTGAATGAAAAAACTGTGTACTTCTATGATTGTTTGAGGAAGTGTATGTTGTTTGTTGAGTATGTCAATTGCCAATGTAAACTGCCTGGAGCCCCAATTTACCATTTTGTCTGGTTCTTTTTGGGGTCCAGGTCTGTTTGTATTTAAGGATTTGCATCTCGTCTTCATTTTTTTGCTCGGTCCGATCGTGCCACCTGGTGCCCCGCGCGAGAATTAGCGAGAGGAGGTGCGCTGGAAAGTTCGCCAGGATTAAACACGAGCTTGGCACCTTGGGGGGGGATGCCCCCTGGGAAGCTTTCACGAGAAGAATCCTGCTCGTCCAGGGTCGCCAGTATTTCAGGAAGCTCTGTGGAACCCTGAGGATGGATATTAGCCCCCCCCCTACTCCCAACACCCACTTTATTTAAGGTATTTTTTTGAAAAACATGGTTTTTCATGGTAAATATCTCCTTTTTTAGTAGTTGGTCTGGAGGTAACCAATAGCGAGAGCCATGGATGCATGTCTAACTACCCCTTTTGTCCCCATGTTTAACCACGAGTGCAGCCTACTTACGTAGGTTGAAGATCCTCTAAAAAGTCCACCCCCAAACCACAAACCCCTATGGGTCAAAATTAGAGCACCAGGGGACCGCAGAGTTTAGTCCTTGGTTCCATTACCCGGGGTTCCATGTTGAACCATTTAGGTACCCACTTTTGACCCAATGAGTGTCCCTTGCAGGAAACGACCACCCTAGACTTCTATGAGGGCGACACGCTGGTGTTCTCCATCTTCGACGCTGACGTCGGCAAGGAGGATGACTTTCTGGGAGCCTCTGCCAGAAATTCCAGGGGGAGAAGGCCACCAAGGGGGGGCTTTCCAACTTACCCTTTGGGACGGCGACGTTTCTTCTCAAGCCCCAAAGTTCACTTCCATGATTGGAAGGGTAAATGGTGGACTTGGAAGCATATCCTGGCAGCTGCGAGCCTCAAACAAACAAAAAAAATGGTACTGGCGTGAACAAGGCAACAGGAAACTCACCCCCGTTGGGCTTCAGTGGGATTTGTTTTTGTGGCATCCCTTTGCAGATAGTTTCAAAGGCGATCCAAGAGGAAACCAGCCCGGATTGGTCCAAGATTTGCAGGCATCTGATTTCACTTCCGTTTGTGTCAAATGCAAAGCCAACACAAAAGCGGGTATCTTCCAAGACACCCATACCTTGTGTGACCTTTCGTCCACGTTACAAGCGTTCATCTCTGGGATGTCGGTATGCTTTGTGGGTTTACACATCGTATGTGTCGGCCCTTCAGAGTTTCATTTGGCTGGCCGGTGACGTTTACAGGCCGGAGGCCGGCGGTTGTCGCAGCAAATCGGCGGGTTGACCCCGAGAAAGGAGATACTTTGATGTGCCTTTGGTTTCAGGCTGCTCAAATCGCGCCTCCCCCCCAACCCCCGGCGACCTGCCCGGCCAGAAAGCAAGCCCCCCTCAAACGAAAAATGTGCCGCCAAGGCATGGTGGAGGTGCCTTCGTGCACGGTGCTACCCGATGGTTTCGAGGCCGAAGACCGCCGTTTTTTCTTTTTTGCTGGTTCCCGGCCATCCGGTTCAACTTAGGTGTTTAGTGGTTTTTAGCTGGTCTAGTGGTAATTTGCGATTTGTTTACCCACAAGTTAGACTTTTGGCATGAACTGAGGACAGCCCAGTTTAGGGAGGGTTCCGTTTCGGATACCGGCTGGAGCCAGTCAACACATCCCACTGCACCGACCGCGTGTCCTTTTTGCTCAGGTCCTTCTGCTCCACGGGGCAGTCCCGAACCTTCGAACTGGTGTTGTTCTTGACATGGCTGGGTGTGGGAATCCACCTGAGCAAAACGTTGAGGCACCCACGGAGCTGTGCATTTTGCCAAGGGATGTTAGGACTGAACAACTTTTTGCCAACTAACGGGTTTTCCGTCTTAAACCGCTACAAGTGAGTCACATTTCGCAGGGCTTCGCAGAGTTCGCAACCGCGGGAGTACCCCCCAACCCGTTGAAGCGGGGAGAAGAAGAAGAAAAAAAAAGCGCCCGTGTCGTCCAGACGCGCTTCGGTCAGGGGGAGCTGAGATTGAAGCAGACCTCCGCCTCCGGCACCGATGAGGTCGAGGCCTATCTCAAGCGCCTGGAAAGCGAAAAACGGTTGCCATGCAGCTGGTCCCCCAGCTTGGTGCCAACTTTCTCACCAGCTTTCTGGGTAAATTATAACGACCTCACACGACCAAAAAAACCAAATGGTGGTTCATGTGCGGAATATTCCCCCAACCACCTTATTTCAGGTTGGTGAAATATTATCGTGTGTGAAGCCGTTTTTGATGAGGAAAAGTAGAGCGACCTGAGAAAGGTTTCCATAGGTTATGAGCCCAACAGCGGCCTCTTAGAAAGGCCATGGAGGAGCCGCATTCGGCGCCGGGCTCCGCGGAACCCCTGGATGAGGTGGGCCGGGAGCTGATCGGGCAGGAGGTGGCGGTGATCACGGGCAAGGGCACGGGGGCTTCTGGGAGGTCAGCGACTGGGCGCTCTCGCGAAGAGGGAACGCCAAGGAGAGGACTGGCGACGAGCTCGGGTGGAGGTGCGCTAGGCTCACCGATGTGGGTGGGCGGGCCGGAAGAAAACCCGAGGACCCTGGGGCCGTTGTTCAGCCCAGAGCAGATGAGCCGACTCAGAGAATGGGAAAGGGAAGCCCCGCTGATTCATGGCACCCCGATGGACCAAAGGAGGCCGGAGCATCTGCCGATTCTGGATGCTGGGCAGGAGACCAACGAGGACATGGCGGTAACCATCAAGGAGCTCCAGAAGCAGAACAAGATGTTGATGGAGGAGTTGGGCCGCATCAAGAACTATGTCAAGGAGGAGCGCTACGGGACGCCGGAGAGCCAGGCCAAACCCGAGGTTCAGAAGGTGCCCAACGGGACCAGCAACAAGCGGGACAACCAGAACGAAACGGTTGGCGACGAAGAGAGTGTGAAGAATGAAGATGAGGATTCCTCGGAGTTGAGACCGGCCAGCGAGAGCGGTTCCGGAAAAGAGAACGCCAGGCTGGACGTCATGCTGAAGTTGATGGAAGGGATGCAGGAGCTTCAGAAGCACATCCTGGACAAGGGCAACAAGGAGACGGAGAACGCGGAGGTAGTACGCCAAGGAGTACACGATCTTCCGCTACTACCAGAGCCGGCCTCGGAAAGTGGGCCGCTGGATTTGGGTGACTGGTTGATGATGGTGGAACCCATGATGGCCGACTTGTCGGACACCTCGGGAGATTGGTGGGTGCTGATGGTTGAAGAAAGCCGGAAGTGGTACCGGAAGTACATGGCGGAGGACCCCATCAAGAGAGCCGAGACGTCCACCGAGAAGCCGGAGACGCTGGATCAGAAAAAGTGGGGAAGGTTGGAGAAGCGGGCGATGGCGATGATGGTCAAGGCGGTGCCGGAGTCGATCCGGGATGAGCTCATGGCCATGAGGGCATTGACGGCCTTCGGGACATTGTGTCGGTTGCAGGTGCTGTACCAGCCGGGAGGGAACGCGGAGAAGGCCCTGGTGCTGAGGAATTTAGAAGACCCCCCAGAGGCTATCACAGCGGGCGAGTTGGTGAAAAGTCTGCGGAGGTGGTTAAGATGGCGGAGAAGAGCGGAGGAGGTAGATCTGGCCATACCTGATCCGACGGTGTTGGTCAAAGGGATCAACAAGATGTCGAAGAGGGTGTTGGAGGGCAATCGGGAGTTGCTCTTCCGGATCTCCCTGGCCAGGTCCACGATGCAGATCGACTCCAACCCGGATCAAGCTGTGGTGAAACAGTTCGCGGAACATCTCTTGGCGGAGGTGGAGCAGACGACCTTCGTGTTGGAGAAGAAGAACGTGAAGGGCCAAGCGATCGCAGAGCCGAAGGTGAAGAAGCTTGGAGAAGCAGAAGGGGAAACGAAGCCATGGAAAGGCCATGAGAAAAAGGAGCGCCCTTGTCGGTTCTTCCTGACGGATGGTGGTTGCCGCAAGGGCAAGAGCTGCGAATGGTCCCACGTCATGGAGGAGGGGACGAACAAGAATCGGTGCTGGGAGTGTGGTGCAACAGATCATCGACGGCGAGAATGTCCGAGAAAGACCAAGGTGAATAACAGCACCGAGAGGGTGACCCCAAAGGTCAACAAGGCGGAGGTGGACGAGAAGGAAGAGTTGCCCGGGAAAGAGAAGAGGGTGGAGGAGACGCAGAACCATGGGGAGAAGACTGCGAAGGAAGACGGGGACACGTTGAAGGGCATCCTGCACGAGGCCAACGTGATGCTCAAGTCCATCAATGGCGGGAAGGAGACAAAGGGTAGCCGAGAGCGAGAAAAGAGACTGGAGGAGTTGCAAAAGCAGCTGGACGACTTGAAGGTCCGGGCCGTGAAGGTCACCAAGATCAGCTGCAAGGGAGGCGGTTTGCTGGATTCGGGAGCTACCCACGCCATGAGACAGATGGGCAAGAGGGAAGACCGGAGCCGATTGGAAAAGACGGTGGTGACCATGGCGGATGGTGGGAGGAGAGAGATGTACATCACCCCGGGCAAGATCCTGGTGTGCACGGAGAAGGTGGATCCGATCCTGCCGCTGGGAGGATTAGTGGAGAAGCTGGGTTGCCGGGTGGAGTGGCAAGGATCCTGCTGTCAGCTATGGCATCCTGTGAAGGGAAGGATAGCGGTGGAAATGGTCGATGGGTGCCCGGAGGTGTCAAGAAGGGAAGCGGAGGAGCTGATTGAGGAGATAGAAGAGAAGGTGTCTGCGAGAAAGGTGTGGGACATCGGAACTAAGGGCGCCGTGCCGACGGAGATGGAGAAAAGCGTGCAGTGCCAGGTGGACAAGAAGTGGATGAGGAGCCTTATGGAGAACCACGAGGTCTTTCAGGGGCTCCCGGAGGAGATAAAGGAAAGGGTGTTGGAGTTGCCGGCGACGGACTGGTCGAGCCTTCCCTGGAACCGGAGGAGGAGAAGACAACAAGGAAGTGGGCAGAAGGTAACTGTACACCTTTATGCAGGTCCAGATGAGGGTTACACCTTCCGGCGAGCGTTCAAAGAGGTGGGAGGAGACGCCAGGAACGTCATGGAGGTGGATATCCTTCGGGGGCCAAGAGAAGACATGGTGGAGGGCGGCCTGTACGCCGGATTGCTGAGGCTGTGCTTCGACGGGGAGGTGGGAACGGTGATGGGCGGACCGAACTGCCGGACAAGAAGTGTGCTGCGGCACTACCCAATACCGGATCTGCCCGGAGGTGGACCACGACCACTGCGAGGAATGGCCCGAGAAGAGCAGTTCGGGTTTGAGTACCTGGAACCATGGGAAAAGAAGCAGGTCGTCGAGGATGACGTGATGATGTGGCGGATGATCATGCTGTACCTGGTGGCAGACGAGGTGGCCATGAGGAGAAGAGAAGAGCAGGTGGGATTTCTGGTTGAGCAACCAGCTGACCCGAGCCACTATCAGCCCGAGTGCGTATCATGGTGGAGGACGCCGCAATGGCGAGGGCTGAGGGAAGACAAGGGGCTGCTGGAGGTGACGTTCAATCAGGGAGACTATGGCGGTGTGGCGGTGAAGCCTACTACGCTGGGGACCAACCTGGTGGCGCAGCTTCCGCAAGAGAAGGTCGAAGGCCTCGGGACACGGGGTACGGCAACAGCAGTGGACTTCAAGGAGACGAAGAACATGGCCCGGTGGGTACCGGGACTGATGAGGGAGATCGCAACAGATGTGCTGGAGCAGATCTACAAAGAGAAGGCAGAGGTGAAGCGTCTTAGCTGGGGAGAGCACGTAGCCAACGGCCATGTGCCATTCCGCAAGGACTGCCGGGACTGCCAGTTAGCCTCTGCAAAGGACCGCCCCCACAGGCGCATCAAGCATCCGCAGGCATATGTATTAAGCTTGGATGTGGCGGGTCCCATGAAGCGTGGATGGGACATCGACGGCAAAGCGTGCAAGTACTTGCTTGTGGGCGCGCACACGTGGGCGAAGCCGGGGCAGCCTGGAGTGGAGGAAGAGGAAGACAAGGGAGAAGGAAGAAAAGCAGGAGAAGCCAAAGAAGACAAGGAGGCAGATAAAGACGAGGAGATCCCCAAGATGGAGGACTATTGGACAATGAGCAGCGATGGAAGTGCAGTCATTCGAGTGCACAAGCACCATCGGAAGGTGAGGTTACCCGTAGACAAGCTGGAATCGGTGCGGAAGACGGTGGCTCGGAAGACCAAGAGAGGCGCCTACACCGTGCATGAGGACGACTGGAAGAGTGCGAGAAGGGAGGACCAGTTGTTCGAGGACGGATCGAGATGGGCGGGTCGGACGATCTTCAAGGTGGAAGGAGTGGAACCAGAGCAAAGGGTGGAGGAAGGTGAACAGGAACTACCAGCGGGAGAAGAACCATTACCGGAGGGGGACTGGGACTTCGAGCTGGAGGATGTGGGAGGTGAACTTCGAGAAGCAGGAGATGACCCAGCACCGGAGGAGGGTCATGAGCTAGAAGATGAGGGTCCGGAAGGACTAGAGGTGGAGACGCACTGGATGGCTTTGCCGATGCCGACGAAGAGCATTCCCTCGGTCATGGAAGCCGTGCAGGAGATGTATTTGGCATTACGGGCAGACGGTTATCCGGTGGCAAGGATGCACACGGACAAGGGCCGCGAGTTCCAGAACCACACCTTGAAGAAGTGGTGCGGCAACCGTGACATCTGGAAGACGAGTACGGCCGGGGACAACTTCAAGGCCAATGGGAGAGTGGAGGTTACCATTCAGAAGATAAAGAGCAGGATGAGGCGAGTGCTACATGCTGCAGAGCTGGATGGCGAATGGTGGCCGTGCGCTGCCCGGTACGTGCAGGCGAAGGACAAGATGATAAGGAACAGAGAGGAGGGCACGATCCCTGCTTTTGGGCAAGAAGTGCTCTTCAAGAGGAGGAAGTGGAAAGTCAAGGATGACATGGAGGTGACGCATCAGAAGGGATATTACCTGGCGCCGATCAGCAACATCCCCCACGGGCATGCGGTCATGAAGGAGAACGGCGACGTGCAGGTGACGTCCTACGTGCTGAAAAAGTGGGATGTGCCGCCTGCGGTGCAAGGACAATGGCAGCTAGAGGAGAGAAGACCTGGTCCAGAAGGTGAAATTTACGAGGTGAGGAGGAGAATTTGGGGCAAAGTGAGGAGGAGAATTTGGGGCAAAAATTTCAGGAAGAGAGGATGCGGGAGAGCTGGTTCGCGTGAGGAACATCCAGCAGATCATCAAGGAGGAGATGCAGAATGTAGAGAGGGAGGAGCCGGACGCGATTGGGGCGGTGATGAAGGGGCTGGAAACCCTGGACCAGAAGGTGAGGAGTGATGGAGACGAGGAACTTGGAGGAGAACAGCGGCAAGTACTATAAACCCGGATTGTGTCGCTGAAGGAGGTAGAGGAAAGAAAGGAGGAGTGGAAAGAGCCAATGCTGAAAGAGATGATGGCATTGGCGGAGGAGAAGGAGGCGGTGACGAGGTTAAGCGCAAAGGAAGCTCATGAGCTACTTGAGGTAGACAGAGAGGTGCAAGTGCTGCCAGGCAAGGTGGTGTGCACGGTAAAGCCTGGAGGGAAGAAGAAGTGCCGGATCGTGGTGTGTGGCAACTTCGGAGAGAGTCATCAAGAAGGCCAGTGTCTCTACGCCTCGGGGACGGACGTGATCGGTCTCCGTGTAGCCATCAAGGAGGCAGCAAGGAGAAGGTGGAAGGGAGGAACCGTGGATGTGCGGTGCGCCTTCTTGAATGCCCCCCTGGAGGCGGAGAGTGGAGGTGCGACAACGAAGGTGGCAATGAGACCTCCGGCCATTTTGGTTCGGATGGGATTGATCGGGCCAGGCGAGCTGTGGGTGGTCAATCGGGCTTTGTATGGACTACGCCAGAGTCCGAGATGTTGGGCCACTGATCGGGACACGAAGATGAGGAGCTGGAGGTTTCACAGCGGTGGCCAACCGGTCAAACTCGAGCAGATGATGAGCGAGCCAAATATGTGGCTGGTCAAAGTGGAAGCAAAGATAGAAGGAGAGAAGGAGGGGACGGTTGGCATCATTGTCGTGTATGTGGACGATATGATGGTGCTGGGACCGGAGGAGACCGTGACGGCGGTGTTCGATCAAGTGAGGAGAGAATGGGAGACGTCGGAGCCAGAGTGGTTTCAACAGGAGAAAGCGGTGAGGTTCTGTGGGGTGAGCGTCAAAGCCCTGGACGAGGGGTACTTGGTCACCCAGGAGGGCTACATCCAAGATGTGTTGGACCGCAATGGGGTCAAGGGGGTGGCGTCAACCCCCATGAGCAGAGATGTCAGTGACCCGGGACCGGAGGAGGACATCACCGCGGAAGAGGTGCAGGCCGCACAACGAATTGTGGGAGAGTTGATGTGGCTGGTCACCAGGTGCCGAGCGGACCTCGCGTACACCGTGGCGAAGATGGCATCCCAGGTGGCAAAAACTCCAAGATGGGTGGTCCAAGTGGGGGAGCAGGCGCTGAAGTACCTGAATGGCACGAAGGAAGAAGGTCTACTCTTCAGCGTGGACACCGGCATTGACCTGAATGGCAGAGTGGGAGCTGGTTTGGAGGTGGCGACGGATGCAAGCTTTGCGCCAGGTGGAGGTCTTAGCCATGGCTGTGTGATGGTGAAATGGATGGGCTCTGTGGTGGCGTGGCGATCGTCAAAGCAGAGTTTCCCTGCGCTGTCTACGGCGGAGTGTGAGTTGATGGAGATGATCGAAGGAATGATCGTGGGCGACAGTGTGGACGCCATGATCAGCGAGCTGGAGGAGGACGGCTACATGAGGTCGCTGACAACCAAGCAGCGATCGCGCTGTGCTCGGAAGAAGCTGGAAGTTGGAGGACGCGGCACTTGCGTCTGAGGGCGTTCCATGTCCGTTGGCGAATTCAACAAGGAGATTGGAGGATCGCCCACAAAGCAGGAAGTGAGCTCATCGCGGACATGGGAACGAAGGCCCTGGCAGGTCCGAAGCTAAAGGACCTGAAGAAGAAAGCGGGAATGATGGCTGAGCCACAGACGAAGGTGAATCGCATCAACGAGGTGAAGCTCGACATGGCGGAGATCGAGAAGTATAAGCAGGCGCTGGCGGTGATAGCTTGCTGCTTGCAAGTGCAGGGCACCTCAGCGATGGAGGATGAGAAGGTTGGCAAGGAGGAAGATGAGGCGTTGATCCGGTTCGGGATCATGGTGGCGGTGTTCACGGTGATCGCAATGAAGATCGTGGAGAAGTGTGGAGCCGTTTGTAGCCGAGCTCTACCGGTGGTGAGGGTTCTTCGGGCTGGGGGAGAACGGGAGGTGGATCCCCTGTCAAGGAGGGTGAGAGAAGAGCAGGCTGATGGTCCAGAAGAAGGCCCAACGAGATCCGGAGGTGGAGAGGCATCGGGAAGTTCGTCTACTACCGGAGGAGGAGAGGCGTCAGGAAGATTGCTGACTCCCGGAGGGGCGGAGGCATCGGGAAGTTCGTCTACTACCGGAGGAGGCACAGAAGAGAGCAGAGGGTTCGTCGCTCCGACAGCGAAATGGAACCCAGGGAGATATGCACCAAAAGGAAAGGGGAAGGGCAAAAGAGCGCCCCACCCAGCAAGGCCGACGGCGACGAGGCGAAGGGACCCAGAGCCGGAGCCGGAGGAGGATGAGATCCCGGTGGAGCCGTCGGTGTTCTACACGGATCGCGGAGAGAAGTACCATCTGCGGGAGAACTGCTACGGGCTTCGACTGGCCACAAGGGTGCGGGAGTCGTTGCCGTGTCCCAGGTGCATGACGCCGGACTTCAGGCGTTTGCTGGGAAGCACAGTTGGAGGTTTGTACATCGGGCGGAACGGACACTATGACTCGGTGATGATGTGCGCGGGCAGAGAAGGCATCGGGTACGACGAGTACGACACGTGCCGGTTCTGCCTGAATGGAGATGTGGCGGCTTGAGCAGTGTTTTGGAGCTGAGTAGGCGATAAGAGCCGAAGAAGCTGAAGTGAGCAGGTGCCGGATGGCATGTGCTCGGGAGGAGCGTGTGTGAAGCCGTTTTTGATGAGGAAAAGTAGAGCGACCTGAGAAAGGTTTCCATAATTATAACTCACCCAGTTTTTTTGGGGGGGAGGGTTCCCCTACTAAAATAGACAGAAAAAGGTTGGTACCCTTATTCTAACCTCTCTACTGGAGGACCTAGATGGCACCTGTGGGAGGTACCGGGAAGATCAATTTCCATGGGTTTCCCTCACTTCTGGTACGAGTGTTCCTCCTCTCCAACTCCCGTTCGCTCAAAAACATGTTTTTGTGAATTCCTGAATTCCCCTGTTGGCTTTAAAGGGAAGCTATCACTGCTTGAAACATGTCCATGTTTCGTGCACTGGACTTACAAGCGCATGGAAGTTCTCCTCCGACTAACATGGAAGCTCCCGAACGAACCCCCGTGGAAGACTTGGTTCCATTTATTTACAGAGGCCTACTGGGAGCGTCCATGATAGTCTGAGGGTGTATACGCCGCATGGATGCTATCTGCTTGGATGGACGAAAACCATTTCGCACCACTTTGAAACCATGGTTGAAACCATGACGCTTGTTGGTATTTGCAAGGGAATCGAATCATTCCAGGGTTTCTTGTGTTGTGCAGGAGTTCGTCCAAATCTGTAACCTTCAACTTTTGGAGAAACATGATGATTTGTCCCGCTGGCCTCCAAAAGTTAGACTTAGGGGGGGAGAAGTTGTTCTGTTTCATCACCAGTGGTGCTTACACCCCCCTTGGGGTTGCTCCATGATTTGAGTCGCGCTTTCCATGGTTTGAGTTGGGTTGTATGGTTGTTCCCTGGTTCTTTGCGTCCCTTTTGGATTTGGCCGGGAATCGCTCGGGAAACGAAGAGGACGAGATATGCGGAGTTTCTATTTTCTCTTCTTCCAGGCTTGGTGGGTGAGTTGCGGAATGAATTTGTGGGGATGTCTGCGTCATGGCGCGGGTGTCGGACAAGCGGACTCCACCTGAAAGCACCTATTGGACTGTTGCATGCAAAGTTGTTCTTCTCCTTTCCCTTGCTTTTGGGTGAAATATGTTGACTGACCATTATTATACTTGGCCTGGTTGGTGAATCCAGCGATTCATTTGAATGAGTGCGCTTCCTTGGCTTTTTTTTTGGACCACGGAAGGAAGCCGCCCTCGGTTTCTCCCTTGCCAACCGGAGCCCTTGGCTTCGGTTGGTTCAACAGCCCATTTCTTCCCATAAGTCATGAGTCATTTGCTGGCTTCATTCTGATTGTTTTCCCCAGGTTGGGCTGCTTTTCCCTCAGGTTGCGGCGTGTTTTTACCCCCGTGCTTCGCCCTTCCCCATCTTCAGCTCCCTGGTTCTTTCCCCGTCTTGCGCTCGTCCCTTTCGTCCGAGAGCAGCCGAGGCTTTTGATCACCAGCAAGGCGCACCACGACGGCCGCCCGCGCTTCGGCGCAGAAGTGGGAGCTCCACAAACGGCCCCGTCACTTCGGCTCGGTGGCTCCCGGAGAAATCCGGTGCAACGGAGCTTTGTAGTTTCCGCCTTTTTTGGTATCCATCCCCTTTTAGTGTTGTTAAGCTTTGCCTTTTTCGTGGCTTTTAGTGGGTTTTAGTGGCAGTTTCCCTATTTAACCCATAAGTTAGTCACTTTCAGCGGGGGGATCTGAGGGCAGCCCGGTTCTGATACGGGTGTTCCTCGAAGTGTTGCACCTCAAACTAACTTCCACTTGCTCAAGAAGATGCTTTTTTGTTTTCCCCTGTTGGCTTTACAGGGGATCTATCACTGCTGGAAAACATGTTCATTTTATGATATTCACTCCCTGAGTTCATGTACTTTGATATTTTTTGTGAGTTTAGACCATACTGGTGGCAAACAACAAGTTCCTGGACTCTTTTGGCCCGTCCACTCAAGAAGTGAGCCCCGAATTGGGTGTGGCTCAAGAAGAGGAGTCGGCCCAAAACGGGTTGCCCTCGTAAATGGGCCCATGGCTCTGAATTATGAAGCCACACCTAGAATTGTGGGTTAAAGGTCACCTTTCGGGCCAATCAGAAGTGAGCTTCCTTTTGGAGTGATGTTTGAAGAGAAGTCCAGGGACTGTCAACGAGTTCTCAAACGAGCAAAGGTTCCTTGAAAGTTCAACTGAGTTCAGGTGGTGAGTTGTAACTCCTGCAGATTATTGTTTTTGTTCAACCAGAAGTTGCCGATCTGAGGGTGGTTCCCTCTGTGTCCGATCCTGCCTTTCTGAAATTGGCTCCAAGTCTCTAAATGAAGAGCCGGGAGCCCCCAGTGTGGGTTTTTCAGTGCAATATGGGTACTCTCAAACAAGAAATGCACAGAGAAATCTTCGGACTGCTTCGCTGTTTGGTCGAACTGTCTTCGCTGTTGTTGGGGAACGTGTAAAGCTTTTGCTACCATGCCAAGGGTTGCCAAGCTGCAAGACCCCTCTTACAAGGGGTTCCTTCATCAAGAGTCCAGCTTTACTCCCCTGCATTCTTTCCAGTCCTTGTTCGGAAATGGGCAGCAACCCAATGTGAGGATCAACCTTCATTGGGACCTGACCCTCGGGTTTTTATCAAATCCTGCTTCAGCGGCCCGAATTCCAGCCCCACTCAAGCGGAAACCTTGGGGTTCCGAAAAATTTTCACCCTCTTCAACTTTGAGATCCGACAACGGACAGCGGCCCCTGGAACTTCCGTCTGCTTCGGACTCGCCATTCCGAGGCCCGTGCGCCCGGAAGTTCCCCAGAGGCTCTATGTGACGGTGCTCCATGCCAAGAACCTCAGAGACTCAGCCCGAGATTCAAGAGCCCTTTGAGCTTCCCTAACCTCCAAATGCCCGGCCTTGAATTAGGTGGTATTTAGTTTGTTCTACCAAAAAAAAGAAGAAACAAAAATGGGTTTCTGTGGTAAGTATCTCCTTTTTTAGTAGAGGGTCGACATGATACCCTACAAAACAGGATATTGGGTGTAAGGGGTAGAGAAGGACGCCGTACCCCGTGCAGTTCAACTGGGTGTGGCTTCTTTGAGATCAAGCGCGAATTTGGGGGAGGGTATCGCCATGTGAGGATCAAAGGCTACCCTGGGGTGGGGTTAGCCAATATATAGCCTCTTGGTGGGCTTGTGTCAAACTGAGTCTCCTTGGTTCATGGGTTCAAAGAGAAGATGGCGGCACCCCCAAGCCGGTGGTTTCCTTTTGGTTCCCTGTAAAGCCACCTTAACAAAGTACCCTCAAAAAATAAAAACACCTCCAAATGGGAAGATCACTGCAACCGACCGGCCAAGGAAATGCAGACCACGCCCCGGGCGCCGGCGTTTCCGACCCGCCACACGGATGGAACTGGAGTCGAACGCAGGCCTGCTGGTTCCCAGGGAATCCTTCGAGGTTCGGGAACGAACCTTGCGCTCCCTGAGTTCCTGGGTTTGAGGGGGCCCTAAAATGTTCAGTGACTTCATGTTGCAACCAGCTGCATGAAAAGGGAGGAGAAAAAAAGCACCCCTTTACAGGCCGCTCAAAGATCGCTTTGTGTGGGCCCACTTTAGCAAACTTCAAGTGGCTCAGACAGATCTGGACCCGTGCCAGCTGAGGTACGTGACCTGCAGCTTGACGGAGGATGATGTCGTCAAGGCCTCCTTCAACACGGAGACGAAGAAGGACTCAGACAGACCGATTGGGGCGTTCCCATAGAGAAATGTGGACTTTGAAGATGATCGATTTTCGGGAAGTTCGGTGACCAGATTGGGGTTTGGATGAATTCGATGTCTCTCCCCAGAGTTGTGTGAATGCAGTTCTCCCTTCCAGATACAAAAATGCAGCGGGAAGGGTGCACCCTTTTGTCTTTTCTTTTTTTTCCGGCCGATATTGATGTTTTCCCATGCGGAAGTGTCTCCGTTTTGTCAGGGGGCTCCCTTTAGATTTCAAGTTGCTGACTTGAGGTTTCCCCTGAAATCACCCAAAAGTGGCCCCAGAAACCCCTCGGTGTATTTGGGTGGCTCGTCTCTTTTGGAGTTGGTCCCCGTTTTGGCAATTTAAAAAGGGAAACCCAAAAAGGAATCTCAGAAAAGACACACCCATTTCGAGTATTCGGCAGGATACTCTTTCGCCGGTCTGGAACCACACGGACAGCTTTGCTGGCTTCAAGGACCTTTCGAGGGTGCGCGGATTTGTTGGTTCTCGTTGTTTACTGGGTCTGTCTTGAAATAGCCTCCGGATTGACATGGAACCAAGACCATGTTGCGTAAGGGCTTTGCCTTTGGGCCGTTGCTGGATTCCGTCGACATCTGAAGGGAACCTCTAGAATGGGGCGGCTTCCACGTCTGGTTTCCCAGTGTGAACCACCCGAATCTTTGCACCAAGCATGGCAAGTTGGTGCATGGTGCCCCTTACACCCAATACCCTCTCTTTTTTTAGGGCATCATGTCGGCCCTCTACTGAACCAGGAGGTATTTACCTTGAAAAGTGGGTATTTGGAGTAGGGGATATGATCCACACATCCAGGTCCCTTGTGGTTCATAATTGCGCACTTCAGAATCAGAAGTGGTTGCATCCCCTCATTCCCAAATCCTGATCCATGTGGAAACAACTACATTCTGAGATGCATGGTTGTGGAAAACATGTCTTTTTAGGGCCACTTTCTGTGACACCGAGGGAATGCCCTTCAAAGTGACGCTGTAGTCATGGGAATGAGCTATACTGGTACCCACAGAAAGGGTGATTTTCCACATGCTCCAATGGTCTACGAATAGGCCACATGGCGGCCGAACATGGTACAGCCTGGTACAGATTCAGTCCCTTGGAATGTGTACGATCAAAGCCCAGGTAGATGAGGTTAGCAAGAACAGCCCAGCCATAGATTGGTGCGGCGGCCCTGTCAACTCTTTTTGTTGGTTTGGATAGACTGTTTCATACCAGGTTTTGGTTGTGTTTCGCCTAGGCATACCGAAGAACCTTAGCCCTGATCCAGGACATGGCCATATTTCCGGGGTCTCGCTTTTGGGGATGGGCAATCCCCTACCGGGTTGCATCGTGAGATCGGAGATTGGACAACTCCTCCGCTGCTTTTCAGACGTGCCAATTGCCACCAATTGCCACTCACTCACCATCGGACTCCCCTGGGCTCGACCTCGAAGTCATAGCCGCCCCAAGTGGACGCCAGCGCTCAGCCCACTTCCCAACGGCTCGAGCCAATCGACGCCAGTCGAAACGCGGAGAGGATGGCATGTGCTTGCTCTTCGAGGTTTGGGACCAGGACCCCTTCTTGCCCCTGGCACGAATTCGGGCGACCAAAAAAACGGATCACTGGGAATGTGGGGGGGCGGGGGGGGGGGAACCACCTGACTTGCCAGGCCTTCCTTTGTGGCCTCCCTGAAAATGCAAAAGTTGAGGGGGTGGGAGGGTGAGGCTTCAGGTCCTCGTGCAACTGTCTTTTTTTGCGAGCCACTCGAGACTTTGAGCTTTTTGGGACCGTTTTGTCGATGAAAAGTTTGGACTTTCTTTGTGCAAATCCACTCGATCGGATATGATTTAAGCCTCCCAGAGAAACACGGGCTTCCTTGTTTTGAGTGGGTTTTCCGGTAGCATCGGCTAGCCCCAGTCTGAAAGTATTCACAGGAACTCAGGAGAGGGGCACTGCTTGATGGGTAGGTGCCCTGTCTTCCTATGAATCGGCAGGATTGATCAATCCGGGATGAACAATCCTGGCTTTTTCTTGTGCTTTTGGATTTTGTGCGGCTCAAATTTTCAGACCTCAGTGTACTGGGGAAGTAAGATGCCTGATGAGGATGTGGAATTTAGTATCTTTGGGGTTTCGGCCCATCCTTTCAAGGAGTCCACAAATCTAAAGATGGTTCCGGCTACCCCCAAAGCACCTTTAAGGGACATGAGGGCGTGCAGCCGCCAACAACCGCATCTCTCTCCAAGGTTGGCTTGGTGGCTCCCAGCCATCCCCTTAGCTTGTTAGCCTTGTAGTGTTGAGTGGTTGTTTCCGTATTTAACCCAATCAAAGTTAGTCACTTTTAGCGGGGGATCAGAAAGCGGGCAGCCCAGATACAACTCACTCCTTTTGATGATTTACTTGATGAGTTTGGTAGGTTCCATTTCGGTTCCGTTTCCGTTTCGGTTCCGTTTCCGTTTCGGTTCCGTTTCCGTCGGCTTAGGCGGAAAGATGCGCTGGGCAGCGCCAGGATCAGCTTTTCGCAGCTGGCCGCGGCCTTCAAGAAGGACTTCCGGGCTTCCGGGGCGACCACTTGCGCTGAGCCGCCCATCAAATGGCTGTGGGTCAAAAATAGGTCTCAAAACGGGTTGCCCTGGTAGATGGAAACATGGACTAAAATCTGCGGTCCCCTGGTGGTCATTTTTGACCCACGCCCAAATGTTGACCCCATAGAAATCGACCCCAGTTGATTCATAGGGGTGTGAGTTTTTGGCCCCAAAAACAATCAGGAATGGATGTTCAGAAACATTGGCAAAACGTCAAATTTCGCACACAAGCGCTGAGTCAAAATAAAGGGAACAAAGCAGCCAGCCGAGGTCAATTCCAGCCACTAAACCAAGTTGGACACCTGCGTATGAACATTCTGGGGTAGACCAATATGGGGTCAGCATTAAGAGGATCCAAATACAGTAAGCTGCCTTTAAAGAGGATCGAAGGATCTTCAAACAGCAGCGTGGAGCTTAAGCAAGAGGTGGTTGGCTCCGAACTTCAATGTTTGCCGCCAAAGGCCAGACCACTAAAGAGGCCTATGCCGCCAAAAACGGTGTTCAATAAGTGTGACATGGTAAATCACAAGTCTTCAAGCCATGGGTTCTTGACATGGTGTTGGATCGATCGGGTCATTGGCAATCTTCGAACCCAGTTTTTTTTCACCCATAGCCCACTGGATCCATTTACCTCTAAACAAGGGCTCGCCTCTAAAGAATCCCAAAAGGCAACTAGATGCGCCCTGAAGGAATCGATGTTCTTGAAAGACCTGCTGCTCGAAGACTCAGGCTCACGGCAGGCGGGAGGAACAAGCCGGAGCCAAGGAAAGGTAAAGCACATGCGTGAATGGGCAGTTACCTATTTTAAGACGCGCCTCTTTTTTGGTTTGTATTTTTGTTGGTTCATTGGTTGATTCATTGGTTGGTTGCTTGGTTTGGTTTGGTTTGATTTGATTTGATTTGGTTTGATTTGATTCCCCAAATAGTGTTTACACTAAGGGGTTCTTACGGTAAGAGTTAAGGCCTGGTGTAGATCGAGGTGTCGGCTCAAATTGCTGGCCCTGTGCGTAAAAAGTTGTCTTCGATGCGACAGTCTCGCACGAAATGGAGGTGTCAGCTGGTGCGTGCGTCTTGCTGTGGTGCCGTTCGCACTTTTCAGCTTTTGCTGGCAGGGGGCAACAGTTGGGAGGTGCGCGCTGCGACGCGGGGTGTGTTTTTTGAGGAAGCCTCGCGCCAAACGCGTTTTTTTGAGACCAAAGTGCGTTTTTGACGCCACGCGGTGATATCTTCTTGTCGGGTCAGGCTACCACGCTTGGACAATCGGAGCTCTAAAGCCATGGCAGCTGTCGCAAAAAGTTGTCTCGCGTGCGACAGCTTCGCACGAAACGGACCTTTCTTCAAAACTGCGCTCTCGCTGTGGCGCCGCGCCGATCTTCGGATTTGTGTGTTGCCGCAGAATTCCATGGCCAGCGCAGCATTCTGTGAGACTGCCGTGCATTTTTCGTGGTGGGCGCAGCATGTTTTGCGCTGATGCAAATGATGCGTGGCAGGCGCAGCATTTTCGGAAACAGGGTCTGTGAATTTCGTGGCAGGCGCAGCGTTTCGCTCATTTGCAAGCGTGAAAGTGAACCCTTTGCGGAGATCGTGCGTGTCGAAGCGCTCTCGCTGTGGCGCCGTGCGAACTTGTCTTGAGCTCGGTGAACCGTCTGCGGAGATTGTGCGTGTCGAAGCGCTCTCGCTGTGGCGCCGTGCGAATGTGTCTTGAGCTCGGCGACTCTCGCTGTGGCGCGGTGCGAATGTGTCTCGAGCTCGGCGAACCCTCTGCGGAGATCGTGCGTGTCGAAGCGCTCTCGCTGTGGCGCCGCGCGAATGTGTCTTGCACTCGGCGAACCCTCTGCGGAGATCGTGCGTGTCGAAGCGCTCTCGCTGTGGCGCCGTGCGAACTTGTCTTGAGCTCGGCGAACCATCTGCGGAGATTGTGCGTGTCGAAGTGCTCTCGCTGTCGCGCCCTGCGAATGTGTCTCGAGCTCGGCGAACGTGCGTGTCGAGGCGCTCTTGCTGTGGCGCCGCGCGAATGTGTCTTGAGCTCGGCGACCCTCTGCGGAGATTCCTGGAAAGCCGTATGGCCGTTTTTTTTTGGACGGAACCCGTATTTGGATCATTTTGCCCGTATGGCCATTTTTTGCTGGCCGGTGGCCGTATTTGGCCGTATGCAACCCGTATTTTTTCAACAAATTGTTGCCAAAAAACCGTAAATAACCGTATGGTCATTTTTTGTGGCCCAAGCCGTATGGACAGAAAAAAACGTCACGTATGGGTTTCCAGGTTGTGTGTGTCGAAGCGCTCTCGCTGAGGCGCCGTGCAAATGTCTCTTGAGCACGGCGAACCCTCTGCGGAGATCGTGCTTGTCGAAGCGCTCTCGCTGTGGCGCCGTGCGAATGTGCCTTGAGCTTGGCAAACCCTCTGCGGAGATGGTGCGTGTCGAAGCGCTCTCGCTGTGGCACCGTGCGAGGTGCGACGTGCCCTCCCGCATCTCCGGCTGCGCAGGCAACGTTTACGTACAAAGCTGGCGCGCAAAGTGCGCTCCTACATCTGCGGCTCGAGATTCGCAACTTCTGGGTGCAAAAAGTAGTACGGGAAGAGCGTTCCCGCAGCTCCGGCTGTAAAATCGTGCTTTTTAAGTACAAAAGTAGCACGCGAAGAGCACTCCGGAGCTCCGGCTGCAAAATCGCAGTTGTTGAGTTCAAAAGTAGCACACGAAGTGCACTCCCGCAGCTCCGGCTCGAAATTCGCAACTTCTAGGTACAAAAGTAGTTTGCTACGTACAAAGCTGGCGCGCAAAGTGCGCTCCCGCATCTGCGGCTCGAAATTCGCAACTTCTAGGTGCAAAAAGTAGTACGGGAAGAACGTTCCCGCAGCTCCGGCTGTAAAATCGTGCTTTTTAAGTACAAAAGTAGCACGCGAAGAGCACTCCGGAGCTCCGGCTGCAAAATCGCAGTTGTTGAGTTCAAAAGTAGTACGCGAAGTGGACTCCCGCAGCTCCGGCTCGAAATTCGCAACTTCAAGGTACAAAAGTAGTTTGCGGAGGACATTCCCTCAACTCCGGCTGACAGCTCGCAAGTTTTAAGTACAAAAGTAGTACGCGAAGAGCACTCCAGAGCTCCGGCTTGCAAAATCGCAATTTGAAGTACAAGAGTAGTACTGGAAGTGCACTCCTGCAGCTCCAGCTTGAAATTTGAGAATCGCAACTTTTCAGCGCAAAAGTGGTGCACGAAGTGCGCTCCCTGTACGAAGTGCGTTCCCATGCGGCGAGGCTCGCAACTCTTGAGTCCAAAGTTGAGCATAAAGTGCATTCCCACAGCTTCGCGCGCAACATCAAGCCACAGCATCACGCGCGCAAGAAGTTGACAGGAGAGATTGTGAAGCATGATGCTAAGCTTGCTCATCAGAATCTACGCTTCAGCAGGGGCACCGACGTGTTTACGATCTCATCAGGTGAAAGAGGCGTCAGTGTTTATTTTATGTTTTTCTATGCTTCTGGGCCACCTGTCGTCAAGTTGGACGCAATACTATTTGGGGTCTCTTGCCGGGATAATTTGGTTTGGTTTGGTTGGTTGGTTGTTATTTGCAAAAGCAAAGTTGCACAACGAACTGCCGGACACTATATTTAACCCACGCCGCGCTGTGGCTGCCTCCAATGCAAACCTATCACCATGCTTTGTGACAAGGAGACTGGACAGCTGGATCTGTCCTTCCCATTTGGTCAAGGCGTGCTGTTGGTTCCTCTCAAAACGGCCCAACATTTGCTTAAGGTGAGTGTTTACTAGGGCTGGTTGCAGAGTGATTGTAACCAAATTAAAGTGATGGTCATGGGCGAGTCTTGTGTGTATGATTATGCAGCCCTTTCTGATTTTTGTTTTTTTTTTTCCCTGGTCATGACCCAGTCTTTGTTTTGGTTGGGGGTCAAGCGTCTTTCAACCACTGCATCTGCCATGTTGCCAAAGCAAATTTCTCAGGAAATCATCGTTGCAAAGATGAACAGATTTGGCTGGGGGTGAAAATGGGTACCCAAAATGGAACCCTGGTAAATGGAAACAAGGACTAAAGAACCTGGGGACCCCTGGCTTAATTATCACCCATACCGTAGGCCCATGCCCATTTCATCGAGTACCGCTACAATTCATTTGCTACCAAGTTCGAGCGGTGGCCGTTTCCACGCTTCTCAAGGCAAGATGCTATGTTGGGAGAGAACCACATGTTTCTCAAAGAGACCCCTTGACATGAGGTATTTTCATGGTACCCTTTGAAGCATTCAGAAAGGGGTCAACCATTTTGGCAAAAGCCTCGGCCTGTCGTGTTGAGGCCCAGTACCCTTGGGAGTTGCTTTCGAGAGAGAAACCAAAAGTCCCTGGAAATCCATCGGGCTCCATTCCCTTTGACACGTCCCCAAAATGAAAAGGCAAAAAGTCCTCATCATGTCTTTCTCTGTTGCCCATTTCTAGGTGGTAAAGGGCAACCAGTTGAAAGAACAGCGCGCGCCTTGTAAAGAAAGACAAGCCACCAACCTGGCCATGCTTCAAAACCAATGGTACCATTCTGGCATAGGTGAATTCACCACGCTTGCACCCGTTCACCGGGGGCGAACCGACTTGGGTTTTGACCCTCGAGCCCAGCTCAGCTCCAGGCTGGGCTCAGCGTGCGCGTGGCCACCGCAGCGGTGGAGCTCACGAGGCTCCGGAAGCTGGCCACAGAGGAAGGCCTCGACCAGGCGGGACGGAAAAAAAAATTGAGGCCCAGGTGACTTTCCCAAGTTACCCGCCCTTGGGGGGGGTTGGGGGGAGGTGTTGCCGGGTGTTGCCCTGCGAGCCCCAGTTGGTTCCCAAGTTCAAGCTGGGGCGGGTCGGGGGGAGGAACCTTGATCAGCCAACCCTTGGACTGGCTTCTGCAGTTGGACTAGAAGCCCCTGGTATTGTTTTGAGGGTGAGCCGAATCGGTGATTTGGTGGTGAATTGGAGGGGTTTCCCATCCACCCTCTACAACAGCCAGGGGCTCAAACCACCAAAGAGAGGGAAGCTGACTTTGAACTCCAAAATCCCCCAGAGGATATAGGATTTGCAAAGCCAAGCGTCTGAGGAAGATGCTTGGCTCCAGGCCATCCGTTTCCAAAAAGCTTGAGATGTTTAGTTGCATTTAACCCACGAAAAATCGTTGGGGGCAAACACCAAATCAGTTTGGTGCAAGCCCCAAGGGTTGCAAAGTGTCCCTTGAAAACGTCCATTTCCTGAAATGGATAGTTGGCTTATTTGTGTCATTTCCCCTGTCAATGTTTAAGTGACCGGCGTAGTTGAAGCGACGACTTTCTGGCGGACGTCATTTGGGGATTCGTGTTTGCCGGCTGTTTGGCAGGGTATCCTCATGAAACCCCCTGGTTGAGGTTGGGCACCTGCTGTAGACTTTGTCTCGATCCTGCGAAAATCGGAGGCCACTGCATCGACCAGAAATCACCTTTTGGCTTCCAATATTCCTCTTGACAATCAAGCAGCGCTGCAACGACAGCATACGGCCACTCCTTGCAAAGGGCACCCGATATGTCACTGACCTCCGCATGTAGCAAAGATCACCTCTCTTGTGGCGAACCAACGGAGAGTCATCTCTTGGCGATATCCTTCGTTTAGAGTTGGATTCATGAGATACTGTGGACGAAATCCACCAGCTGACAGCTGGTTTATCCCACTGGGAGTTCATTCATTCCAGGTGGGATTTCGTCCATCGGTATCCCTGTCCAAAAGTCGAACTCTCAAAGGATCAGCACGAAGTTCTAAAACAGGCGCGCTCATGGATTTCGGCCCACGAGTATGGCCAGTGAGCCAGTCCTGACACAAAATTGGGGCGTCATGCATTGGCTTGGTGAGGTACTCCCTGCATTTTGGTGGTAAACAAGCAGCTTAGACTTTTTCCGAATGGTTGGATGGCAGAAAACCTTTCCGCTGACCCTTGATTGATTTTGTTTGATTGGCGATTGCCAGAACGTTGACATATCTCTCGGGCTCCGGCTGCAGGTAGCCGGGACTCTCAGGGGCAACGGCAGGCCCATGAAGGATCTCTAGGAGTGTTCAAGGATTGCAAGCCTTAGAATGTCCTTTCAGAAAGCGTTCGTCAGGCTGGTCCCCCTGCACCTGCTTTTGTGTTTAGGCTGAGTACACTCAACCTGCCTGCGCCATGAGAGTGGATGTTCACTTGGCCAGTGGAGATGGTTGCTCCATAGAAGTCTTGCCAGAGACGCCCATCAGCGAGCTGAAGGATGCCGCGCAGAAGCACTTCCAGCGGCGCTTGAAGCTCGTTTTGACCGGGAGGCAGCTCGATTTGACGGCCACGCTAAGTGAGGCCGGGCTACGAGACGGGGACGTGGTAACTGCTGTTGTGCAGCTTGGAAAGCTGGCCGCCACTGATAGGGCATTCGCTTGGCATGGCCACGGGGGCGTGGTTGTGACCTGGGGTCAGGCAGATTTTGGCGGAGATAGCAGCAGCAGCCCGGTGCGAGACCAGCTGAAGAACGTTCAGCACATCCAAGCAGCTGATCGTGCTTTTGCTGCCATTCTTGAATCTAGTGCTGTTGTGACCTGGGGCGAGCCACAATGTGGCGGAGACAGTAGCCAGGTGCAGCAGCAGCTGAGAAACGTCCAGCACATCCAAGCAACTATCGTTGCTTTTGCTGCCATTCTTGAATCTGGGGCTGTTGTGGCATGGGGTCTTCCAAAATATGGCGGAGACAGCAGCCACGTGCAAGAGCAGCTGAGGAAGGTCCAGCACATTCAAGCAACCCACAGTGCTTTTGCTGCCATTCTTGAATCTGGAGCTGTTGTGACTTGGGGTGATCCAGAACGCGGCGGAGACAGCAGCCAGGTGCAAAAGCAGCTGAGGAACGTCCAGCTTATCCAAGCAACTGGCGAGGGCGCGTTTGCTGCCATTCTTGAATCTGGTGCTGTTGTCACCTGGGGTAATCCAGACAATGGCGGAGACAGCAGCCAGGTGCAAGAACAGCTGAGGAGGGTCCAGCACATCCAATCAACTCAGCGTGCTTTTGCTGCCATTCTCGAATCTGGGGCTGTTGTGACCTGGGGTGATCGACACTTTGGCGGAGACAGCAGCCAGGTGCAAGAGCAGCTGAGGAACGTCCAGCACATCCAAGCAACTCCCGGTGGTGCTTTTGCTGCCATTCTTGAGTCTGGTACGGTTGTGACCTGGGGTAATCCAGAAAATGGCGCAGACAGCCGCCAGGTGCAAGAGCAGCTGAGGCAGGTCCAGTACATCCAAGCAACTCGCGGTGGTGCTTTTGCTGCCATTCTTGAATCTGGGGCTGTTGTGACCTGGGGTCATCCAGCATACGGAGGGGACAGCAGCCAGGTGCAAGATCAGTTGAGGAACGTCCAGCACATCCAAGCTACCCAGTATGCTTTTGCCGCCATTCTTGAATCTGGGGCTGTGGTGACCTGGGGTCATCCAGCCTTTGGTGGAGACAGCAGCCAGGTGCAAAAGCAGCTGAGGAACGTCCGGCACATCCAAGCAACTCGCGAGGGCGCGTTTGCTGCCATTCTTGAATCTGGGGCTGTTGTGACCTGGGGTCACAGCAGCCAGGTGCAAGAGCAGCTGAGCTTGTAGCCTGGGGTAGACTTAGGATACATTTTACATTTTTCCAGCGTCTCCATGTGAAGCCAACAATAAAATTTACATTCTATAACTGGGCCCAATCATGCAACAAGGACGGCGATCATTTTGTGTGCCCCGACCTCTTGGGTGGAAAAAAGGAAATGGAATCGAATGTCCCATTCTGAGGGTCCCGTTGCATGATTCTAGTTGACAAACTTGGCGTCCAGGACTCAGGTAGATTTTCGGGTCGCAAAGGTGTTGGCACACCCTTACTTGCTATCGGTGCCGAGCAACTGATGCAAATGGATTTGTGTTTTGTTACGCGAAAAGAATGCTCAACTGGAAAAGCCGGTGAGGTTCCCAAATGCAACTAGTGGTTTCAAACAGTGCTTATGTTTTGCGGGAGGCGAGTGTCCCTTGAAATCAAAAATGCTGTTCAAGGGAGCTTGATTTGGGTGAGTTTGCTGAATTGCTCAAGCTGGGAAGGATAAGAAGGCGACCTCGCAAAGACTTCAGAACAGAATGGATCATTGTTTGATTGCCTTAGCTTATATGTTTTTAGTAGGCAAGCTGAAGGCTTATTGTTTCCCTGGTGTCATCATAGTTTTCGTCTCTGCCAAAGGTTGGACTTGTTTTGGCCAAGCAGTTCTGGAGAATTAATCGCCATATTCAATTCCTAGAAGAAACCGAGATGAATAGTGTTTCGATTTTCCCTGATTGATTGGGGCAGAGAACCAAAAGTCCAGGCGGAGAATCCGCAGGGGGATGCAAACTCAAATTCAGCTTCTCGGTGTGATAGTGTGGATGGACGAAATCCTGCACCACTTTGAATCCATGAGAAACCATTGTTTGTTGGAATGTTCGTTGTGAAATCATCATTCCAGGGTTTCTTAAGTGGTGCGAGAAGCGACCTTCGCAACCATCGTTGCGAAAGGGTGACGTCCGCCTCCGCCTGCGGACAGGTGTCCACGTCCGTTTCCGCGTTTTGCCCCAGGCGTTGGAACATCACCACGCGATGAAGAAGCGCCTTGGGCAGAGGTTCGGTCAGAAGCTGATATCTTGGCGCTTTGTGTTTCCGTCTCCTTAGGTTATCGCTTTGTAGGCTTTTCTGGTTTCCACTAAACCACTACCAAGCCACAACTTTTAGCAGGGAACTGAAAAAAGCCAGGATGTGTCTTTTGTCTCTTTTATTGTGTTGGCTCGTAAGTACCAGCAAAAAGGCTCGTACGTACCAGGCTATCTCAAACCTGCCTAGCTCGTGGAGGGGGTTTGATGGGGTTCTATCCCAGAGTCACTGAAGACCTTATCAGCGACCGGTCGGTGATAAGCCCTCGTTGCCCGGCTCTGTATAGCCCCATGAAGACGGAGTCGTCATAAACCTCGGTTTCGTTGATGAAGTATACATGGGTTCTCAAAAAAAACGACCCTCCAAGTAGGTGTTTGGTGTTTTGTTTTTTGGTTTTGTTCTTTTCCGGAGAAAAGCTTTTTCCAAGGAGGAGTCCCGTACTTTGAGAAACGGGGTCCCATGCAGTCTTTGTTGGTGAATGCTTCTTCATCTTTGACCTAGGTTGTGTTGAGGCAACAGGGGTTCCATTCACTCATTTTGGCTTCGGCTTGTTGGGATCTCATTCACTCAAAGTGAACGTCCATCGGGGGCCGCAGATGGCAGCAAGTGTCCTTGAAGTTTTGTTTATTCGAGTTGTCTTTTGCAAAAGCGATTTGGCAGAAGCACCTGTGTCTTTGCTTCCCAAATAAATCGGGCCATAAATGTTGTCGTTGAAAAGTAAATCCCCTTTGACACTAACCAAATGAAACCTCAAGGCAAATGCTTGTTTGTGATTGTGCTTGTGTTTTTGTTTCCATTGATCACCAAGCTTTTGTTTCTGGCTTCCTTTTGGTTTTCCCTGGAACTTTTTGGTCAGCTGGGTCAAGGTGAAAACCAAACCTTTGGTTCCAAAACTGCCGTTTTGGCACAGACCAAAATTAGTCACCCTCAGCTTTGGATTCAATCACGTTTCTTCACGCCATATCAGGTTCTAGTTGTTGCCACAAGCCGCGAAGGTTCCACAACGCCTTTGAAAACCCTATCAAAAAGAGGAAAAGGCGAAACCGACAAGAACAGCTTGCTGGAAGAGCTCGTCCTGGCTGTATGTGTGTGTGTCTTTTGCTGAGTGAAGCACCAACAGATTCTCCTTTTTGAGGCCATAGATCAGAGTGGAACGCAAAGGCTCCAAAAGCGGTAGGTTCATTGGAGTTTGCAGGAACTAAATTGCAACTCTTGAAAGAGATCTTCAAAAGGCCCCTTTCCCACAAATGAAAGCAGGCTTGGTTGTGTCAAGAATTCCTAAAAGTGGCTGGAGGACCGCGTGAACTTGGGTAATGGGATGAATAGCAATAAAATAGACTTCTGGAGAACAAGATTGGCTTGTTTGTTTTAGATTGGCTGGTAAGAAGAGTTTGCTTGGCGCGTAGACCGCGTCAACTTGACTTGTGAGCGTTGGTTTGGCTAACGTGGGTCAGATTGACTTGTTCGCTATCTGTCAATTTGGAGCATCAGATATGTTTGCATGCAGTTGACACGTGTTACATTGTTGCGAGGGGTGGAAATCAGATTGGTGTCTTTGCTATGGATTGGCGTGACGTCATTTATTTGTCTTAAGCAATCGTTAAAGGTTGCATTTGCCCGTTGTGTTCTGCAAGAGTTTCTTGCCAGCCCCAATTCTAAATGTTTTGTCCAGCTTCACGGATTTCAATCCCGAACGCACATGGTGTACCTGAATTCACCAGAGATACCTTCTTGCGCCATGAAGGTGGATGTATGCTTGCCCAATGGAGATGGGTGCTTCGTACAAGTCTCACCAGCAACGCTCGTCAGCGAGCTGAAGGCTGCAGCGCAGCAGCATTTCCAGCGCCGCTTGACTCTCGCCGCGAAAGGCCAGCAGCTTGATTTTACCGCCACGGTGAGTGAGGCCGGGTTGCGAGATGGGGACGTGGTGGCTGCGGTTGCGCAGCTTGGCAAGCTGGCTGCCACTGATGTAGCCTTTGCTTTTCATGCTCACGGGAGCGAGCTTTTGACCTGGGGGGATCGACGCTTTGGCGGAAGTAGCAGCCAAGTGCAAGAGCAGCTGAGGAACGTCCAAAGCATCCAAGCAACTACGGGTGCTTTCGCTGCCATTCTCAAATCTGGGGCTGTTGTGACCTGGGGTATTCCAGCCTTTGGTGGAGACAGCAGCCAGGTGCAAGAGCAGCTGAGCAACGTCCAGCAAATCCAAGCAACTCGTCCGGGTGCTTTTGCTGCCATTCTTGAATCTGGTGCTGTTGTGACCTGGGGTAATCCAGGCTATGGCGGGGACAGCAGCCAGGTGCAAGAGCAGCTGAGGAACGTCCAGCATATCCAAGCAACTGACTTTGCTTTTGCTGCCATTCTCGAATCTGGGGCTGTTGTGACCTGGGGTATTCCAGCCTTTGGTGGAGACAGCAGCCAGGTGCAAGAGCAGCTGAGGAACGTCCGGCACATCCAAGCAACTCGCTTTGCTTTTGCTGCCATTCTTGAATCTGGGGCTGTTGTGACCTGGCAACACGCAGAACACGGCGGAGACAGCAGCCAGGTGCAAGAGCAGCTGAGGAACGTCAAACACATCCAAGCAACTATCGGTGCTTTTGCTGCCATTCTTGAATTTGGGGCTGTGCTGACCTGGGGTCATCCAGCCTTTGGTGGAGACAGCAGCCAGGTGCAAGAGCAGCTGAGGAACGTCCGGCACATCCAAGCAACCCGCGAGGGCGCGTTTGCTGCCATTCTTGAATCTGGGGCTGTTGTGACCTGGGGTGATCCAGACTATGGCGGGGACAGCAGCCAGGTGCAAGAGCTGCTGAGGAACGTTCAGCATATCCAAGCAACTATGGGTGCTTTTGCTGCCATTCTCGAATCTGGGGCTGTTGTGACCTGGGGTAATACAAAATGTGGCGGAGACAGCAGCCACGTGCAAGAGCAGCTGAGCAACGTCCAGCAAATCCAAGCAACTCGTCGGGGTGCTTTTGCTGCCATTCTTGAATCTGGTGTTGTGACCTGGGGTCACGCAGAACACGGCGGAGACAGCAGCCAGGTGCAAGAGCAGCTGAGGAAAGTCCAGCACATCCAAGCAACTATTGGTGCTTTCTCTGCCATTCTTGAGTCTGGAGCTGTTGTGTCTTGGGCTGAGCCAGAACTCGGTGGAGACAGCAGCCAGGTGCAAGAACAGCAGGAGCGTTTAGCACATTTAAGCAAGCGACTACGCACCTGATGACACTTGAAAGGAGCCCTGCACACTTCCATCTTCAACTCTCAAAATGGGTGATCTCCGATCGGTCTCCCTTAAAACACCCAAAAAAAATACACCAGCCTCGACCCCAAACAGCAAAAAAGCATGACCGGTCTGTATAGCCCAAAAAAGGCGTGTCTCCTTCATGTAAGGTGCGAACTTGTATAGCTTATGTGAGCAACACATAGTTACAATCAGTCCATGTATGTCCCTGCAGGAAGTCCCCTTTTTTGGGAAGAGGACACAGCAGGACCATCCATCTCCTTGACACCGGGCAAAAGCATCGATGTTGTTCATCGACTTCGAGGAGAAAATGTCAATGCCATGTTCGAGAGTGAAGGCCCCGGGGATTCGGGGTGAATCAACCTAACACCTGGCATTAATCAAAGGAAGTTTCGAAGGAACTTTCGTAGTACGGACACTCAATGCACTTTTCCATCACCGCAGCATTTGGTGGCCGTCTCGCTACTCTGCTGAAACTTGCGCATCAGTGTCAGCAGCCTGCGGCCGAGACTGGACACATGTCACTTCTGGTTGCTATCTTCTTCTCGAGCTCAACGCCGCTCCATTCCGGAACAAGCTTGGCTTTGAATGTCAGCTCCAGCCCTGCTCCATCGGGAAACGTGTGAGCACTTTGCCCCAACTTACCAAGCTGGCTGCACAGTGGACACCACCAGCTTGGCCGGATTCATCTTGGGGTTGGCGCTGATGGTTCGCAGATTGGTGTTCACATGTGTGGTGAACGACCGGCGGCCGTCATTCCAGCGCACGCCGCTGGCAACAACTTCTGGGCCTTGCGTTCACTCAGCTCCAGCAGCACAGTAATCAACTGGCCGGGTTCATGAACTCTTTCCAAGTTGTCAAGGTCAGCGAAGTAGGTTGCCAGGAAAAGGCTCCTATGCATCAACCAAGTTTTTCAAGGAGAACTTGACAAGTGCAGGGACGATGCGAACAACTCTTGCAAGCTAATGGTTTGGTTGGGACCCGACTCACCCAGGCTTTACTTCCAGGACCATTCTTTTTAGAAACCGGTCAGAAAAGACCTTGGGGCTCGGACCCCCCCTTACAATGCAACAAGATGATAGGCACGCCTGCTTGACTGTGTGTTCGCTTGTCCCTCTCTGTGATAGCACCAGATCTCCAAGAGCAAGTAACCAGGAAACCACCAAGCCACTCTGCAATTGGCGAAACGGCTTTGTTGATGGCCCCAAAAAGAAACCATACGGCGGCGCCCTTAGCAACTCTTATTAGATTATACAGCCACCGAACATGTGTCGAAACATGGCCATGACCGTGTGTCCTTGTTGCAATCACCACATTGAGCACCAGAGCCGTCATTCCGTAATGTTGCTGGGGAGTTCGCCACGCACGCAGAGTGTCCAGCAGCTTTTGCTTGAATGGGTCGGAATCGATGTAGTGGAGGCGAAGCTGTGTCGTCAAAGAAGAAATGGGTGGACCATCCCCCCCCCCTGCCTTAGTGCAAGGGACGTCGGGGGGGGGGGGGGGCATTCTATTTTTCAATCAACGTAGGGGGGGGTCATTTTTTTTTTCAAGGCCCTGTGACCTGCAACACAAGCAATCGAGTCACCCGGCACACTGCCTCCTTCGCCGGGCCTGTCACGCCCAAGTGTTGGTCCACCATGTTTGTAGCATGTGTAGGTCTTGATG